AGCCAAAGAGTTACATCTGCAGTTATCCAAAACTAGTGGCAGGGCAGACGAGATTTGTCCTTTATATTTTAACTTTATAAGCCATTGCTGTAACAATCAAATTGGAGTTAAAGCTCAGACTAATGAGGAAAAATCATACAGCCTTTGTTAATTAAGAACTATTTCATTTTTTGTGATTGTGTTGTCTGATATAATATTGTTCCTGCACTGTATCTGCTTTAGGTTGTGACTTGGCCAATACACTTACTGCTCTACAGTATGTCCAAAGACAAGAGCATTATTTTTTCAGTGTCTTCACAATCTCTGTAAAGCACATATTATTTTTACGTTTTGATCTTGATCAGTGGAGAGATGATATTAACTGACTTTCTAAATACATTGATATGTTCTGCATATAAAAAAGCTGAATTGAGAAGGCAAGAGGATGTTAGTTTGCCAAAAAGATTCAATTAAAAAAAATTGCAAGGAGATACAGTATAATTAATTAAGAAATTAAAATAACTATCCTCTTGCAGTTCCAAACTGTAGAAAGATAATTGTGGTGGAGTAACTGTTTTGGTAAAGCAGGTTTAGCAAGAGCAAATCATTGTAGTTCTTGAGAATTATAATCTTTGCAGGAGAACAGATGTTGCACTATCATAAATTTCCAGAAATCATCTTTCTAGATAGGTTGTATCATTAAGTGTAGTAGTTGACTTTTTTGTCTTTCCTTTCTAATTTTTTATAAATGTGACATGGCTTTAGACATTCATAAATCCAACACCTGGTGCTTATTAAGCTTTTTCCCTTTTCTTAAAGCAATTTTCCAGACAATCTGGCAACAGTTCATAAATTTGTTCGTGGAAGACATCCTAAAGCATTTTAAACACCTCCCAATGTTTTTCATTAACATTGACTCATCTAATTTTTTATTCATAGCACTCTGTGGGCTCCAATACAGCATGCTTCTCCTCCCTGTCCTCCTCCTCGGTATTAGAAAAAAGTGTTGTTTCAGAGTTCTGGACCCTGCACTTTATTTCCAGATAAGTGTAAGCCCTCTGGAAACACTTATCACGCTGAACAATTATCACTTAAAAATTCCTCAGTGTAGAAATCAGACAGTCACTCACTTGAAAGAAAAACTGACTTTAGTTTGAAGTGGTGGTACGTTTTTATCTCATCTTGTGCCTGCTTCTGTTGTTTCTACAATCTGCTATTAAAGAGTCAGCAAACACTATCAGAATATATACTGTAGCCCAGCTTTGACATATTTTACAGTGTTTAGATCCTGATTCAAGCTGATTTTGCAACAGTTGTTATGCCTCCAATCTCCTCCGGCCAAGGCTTGTACAACGCAGTGCCTTTGAGCACTTCTCACATATTGAACAAAGAGTCATACAGTTTGGGTAATACAGCAGTTCAGAAATAAGTTTGTCTTTCACAGCCAGCAGTGAAATTTTACATGGAGGTGGGTGGGGATCTAAAAGGGTCATCAGTTTATTCACTTACTGATTAGAGCACTGATTCTTTAGGATTACAGAACAAGAGGAAATTGGTGACAGTGCCTTGCAAAGGACATTTTGTTAATTCTTCAAACACTTAAAGATAGTAAGTTATGTTTGAAATCATTGCTTATGTTGTACATGAAATTAGAAAAGCACACTGCTAACTTCTTATCACAATCTTTAGTACCTTTGTCGCATTTGTGGGTTTTAAAGTTAATCTCATTGTTTTGCAACCAAACAGAATTTGGTGATTACATTCATTCATCATGGACACATCAGATTTAAGAACAAAATGCAATGTTGTTTCCTTCAATGATACTGCAAAAATAGTGTTTTTTCTATTTAGACATTTTTGTGCAATCTGAATTATCATGATGCCATGGAACTAACTCTTTCATTTGTGCATTCAGACCCTATAATATCCAGCCACAAGAAAGTTAACTTGGAAAAGCTTGTTTAAACATTCAGAACATTTGCAAAACTATTAATGACTGAAACAGTTCAGTATATTGTATATATTTCAACATATTTAGAGGAAATGAATAAGTGTAGAAAATTACAAAGATATATAGTTATGTTTTACAGTTATGCTATAGAGTTGATGCATTCAGTAAATCTTTTCAAATGTTTCTAACACAGTTTTATTCATAAAAATACCTTGTACACCTGCATTTCCCAATCCATAAATATACAGCACACATAGTAAAAGTACTGTTTTCTATTACTCCATGTCACATTGGTGCATACATTAAATCGAGGCTTTAAGATATGAATGTTATTGAGGTTCAGCCAACATGCTCAAAACCCAACCCTGGCTGTGCAGCTTTTCATGAATCAGGTTAACCTTACAGAGGATTTCCTAAATAAATTACTTCACTTCTTACAAAGCCAGTGTACTATTAATTCTTCCATAGCGTTTTGCTCTCATTTCCACTTGGTGGAAACTGGCATGGATTCCAAACTGTGATGATATCCAGAAGTTCAGGCTTCCCTTTGAGAATTCAGAGCTGCGCATGAGATAGCAGCTTCAGTCTAACTGAGGCATTAGAGTGCAAGGCGTCTGGAGAGGGCATTCGGCTTTGAAGATCCATAAAACAAAAACTGATTGGTTGAGCTGACGAACAAAATCAAGATTTATGAGGTGCAACCAGTCACATAGAATGTGTGTTTGCCTTCTGCATAACTGAGTAAAATCAGTACTTTGTCATGTACACTGTGCCTGGAGGGGGGATAGCATTGAGCCTGGGGTCCCCAGGGCTTTGTTTTCTCCTGCTGAGAGTTTTTGTTTTGCTCTCCTCTGTGCCCAGTGCTTGACTGTTATTATACTGTTCACTGCTCCAGGCAAAGTGTTGCACCGAGTAAAATGATTGATATGACAAAGGGCAAATCCCATTCTGTAGTGAAAGATTAATACAGCAATGCAACGATAAAATGCTCACATTTATTTTAATGGAGTCACATTTTAAAAATGAAGAAAGAAAAACACACACAAAAATGTCCAAACTTTGGTTTCTGTTACAGCTTGCAAACATTTGGACGAGATGTATGCTGAGGCTCTCTCCCCCCACCCCCTGCCCTTATTCCTTTGAAACAAGCTGTTAAACTTGTGAATTTCCTGGCAGCCACAGATTTCTTCAGATCCAACCATAACAGTTCAGTGGGACATATATTTGAGTTATTATTCCTGCTGTTTCTTCAGTGTTTCACCTTGAGGCCTAGTTGCTGGGTTTAGAAACAGGAAGGCTAGGAGCTCACCACAGTGACAAACCATGGTGGAAAAGTCTTGTGAAAACAACCTAAAACAAAACCATCTAATGAAAAAAATACCAGCTTTTCACCAGCTTTCACGTATTCAGCCATATAGTTAGGTTTTTATTTACTATCGTGCCTTTCGCAACACTTCACAGATTTCTATAGCAACAGTTGACCGTTGAACAAAGAGGAAAGGAAAACAAAAACTCCCAACGGGAGAAAACAAGCCTCCTCTTTAATGTTTGCCTCTCTCCAGGCAGTGGCTTTGTAGAATATTAAGCATAGTGTAATAGATCAAGAAGAGTTTCTGGAAACCCCAGGGTTGGTATTCTGACCTCCAGTGTCTGTTGTCAGGGTTATCCTTGAGAAGTGGCTGAGACATACTTGACTCTGCTGTCAGGACATGTATGCATGGTGTGGGATTTCAGCACTGGGATCGGATTGAAGAAAAAAGATTAAAAACTGTGTTACCTTTTAAAAATTGGCAGCCCTACTAGAATATACTGTAGGAGTTTAATACGGATTATAAGGAAATTGGAGACTAAAGAAATAGGTCTTGAGGTCTTGATTAAAAGGCTGAGACTGTTTGGGCATGAGAGATGAATTGTGGAATGAGCTTGTAAAACACATCTCTGACGTCATTCCACAATCAGGTGCCCTGTAACTAAAGACTGTGCTGTGTAACTAAACAGCTGTTTTAGAGATTCTTGGGATTGCTAGCTAACTGCTGTCCTTGGAAGAGAACACTCTGCTTGATGTGTGTGTTGTTAGTACATTTCTTAACAGAGGACCTAGACCTTTAATTGATTTCTAGGTCAGAAATATAACTTTGATATCCATAATATGATAAACAGGGAGCCAATGTAAAGATGCTAAAAAATGGAGTTACTTGCTTGTGCTTTTTTGTTTTTGTTATGAGCACAGAGGCATTTTGCCAACTGGATATTTTGGTGCAGTTGGGTATACCAGACAATAGGCCATTACATCAAACTAGTTTTTCTAGTGTTTGAAAGAAATTACTTTGCCTTGGAAATACGGACATATGTCTAAAATAAAACAAAACTACTCTAGACATGTTTCAGATGTGAACTTAAAAAACAGTTCTTCACCAAATGGTCCATCCAAAAAACATAGTGTATACAGTAGTAATCTTAATTCTCCATGCCAGATTTAAAAAAGAAGACAGTTCAAGATGTAGACACACAACAAAACCAAGAGAAATGCTGATTCCTTGTATTTCTGTCAAGGAATGTGCCTGTGAGATACAGTGAAATATTATTCTAAAGAGCTTCTGAACTCTATTTATAAGAGTACCAATTATATAGATTATTGTCCAATGAATCCCACAATATAATATATATAAAATATTGTGCCACAATATTTCCCATTTACTGCAAGTCTGTGTGAACTCTATTAGTTTACATTAAGATATCACCAGGAATGTAAGGAAACTGAACTGCTTCACCTTCAGTGTCCTTGGAGGTTCAATTGAAATACCTGCTTGGCATAACATAATATTTAGCAAGAGTTGTGTAATTGTCTGTAACACATTAGGCTGTTTATTGTTACACAATATAATAATGCAAATTTAAATGAATCCAGATGGCCAAATAGTTATTTAGAAAAAAAATAATTCTGCAATGAAACAAAAGTTAACCTTTGGATATCATCTGTATGAACCTGTATGTACACAAAGAACTGTACAGTATATGCCTTCATGTCTTTTGATAATGCAGTAACTAATATATTTTATATTTTTTTCAGGGTCACCCTGGTTTGCCAGGAAATGATGGTATAAGGGGACCTAAGGTTTGTGTATTTTTAAAATGTTTTTAGTTAAAATTGCACTGATTTAAATTTGGTATAATGTGTATCACTGTTCCATTTAACTTTTGATTCAAGTTCAGTTATTTGATTACGTTTTTGTTATTTTTTTAATTTGGTTGAGTGTACCACAGAATTTTCTATTTTGTGGTCATATAATATTAAGCCTACCAGTAAGCACAGGGAGAAGTAAATATTAAGGTTGTAAGTAAAATGGTGAATAGTATAATTTGGGCCAGAAAATATTGCAATTCTAGATTACATCATAATTACTGTATTCCAACCTCTATACACTTTACAGTGTTCGCTTTGGGATACTTGTGTGCACAATCCACAACACAGCAGGTCCAGGAGACCCGTGTTTGTCTGTGGGTTTCATTCTGCTTCAGGGCATAATTACTTAGTTGACCTTGTTAAGAGGGTAGGAGGTGAAATCCTGACTCTAAACCCAGCAGGACCACTGCAGCCAGGGTTCAGTGATGCCTGTCCATTATTCTGGAATCAAATTATATTATAATAAGCTAACAATGCCCAAATGTACATCTTAAATACCTAACATCAAAGGAAACGGATCATTCTTAACTTCAGCAAATTCACAAAGTTATTATCAGGAGAATTTGTCTTTTTTTCTAGATGATGCATAGACATTGAGCAGACAAAAATGTTTCTGCTGTGGAATTAGTCCAAAGACAAGCGACCAGATACATTCCTGGTCTTTAAAGAACCAACAGGTTTAAAGAACTCTAAAAAAAGTTAAGTCTTATTAGTCTTTAAGAGAGAAAAGTAAGAGCGGACCCGACTCAAAGAATTCAAAGGCCTCAAAGGTATTGTCAAAATCAACCCAATGCACTTCTGCTGAATCAACAGTGAAACACAAAGCAGAGGACAGAAGTGGAAACTACTGTACATGGACGTGAACTGGTCCCTGGGTGGTCATCTGGCCTGCAAAGGATGACTCTTAAGTCAATAATTAATTCCTTACATTCTTCTTTACCCTACATGCAGGGTGATGATGGAATACAAGGAGAAAAGGGAGCAAAGGGGTCTGCCGGATTGCCTGTGAGTTTTTTTCTAAAAACAAGCTCATGACTTTCATTAATAGGAGACATGCAGCAGTGTATTGTGACCGATCACACACTGAAGGACTGCCAACACAGTCTGCTTCTCAGATCAGTGCCTTGAATTTACATTCTGCTCTTCATCCTGAAGGCTCCGAAAGTGCTTTACAGATGAGACAGTGAAGTACAGCCCCCACATGTGTGACACGCAGCAGCCATTCAGCACTAGCAACCCCACTACACAGCAAATCTGATGGAGAACTGAGAAATTACTGCACTAGTTAAATCATGCAGGAATCTTAGGGAGGCTAGAGCAGCTCAGATAAAATCCACTTTATCTAAAAATAATGGTATTTACAGTAGTATTTGTAAAGATTAAAAAGGAAATTCTATGACTAGTTTACTTCAGTATTTTGGTCTGAGGGAAATATTCATGTGTCACCTGACTCAATCTTTAAAGGGAGAGATGGGGTTATCTGGTGCACCCGGCTCACCAGGATTACCAGGATTAAAGGTAAACATGATTTTTTTAAACAAATTAGCAACAAACTCACCTGGCAGCCGGCAGCTGGGCCTGTGCTTGGTGTGGATGTGGGAAAATAACAGTGCCTTCTGGGGTTTTCCTCTGCTACTAATTTTCCACAAAATATTTCTCTATTTATTTTGGATGTGGTTTTCATTCCCATTAAAAGGGAAAATGAAAAATCTGAAATTAATCAACAAGAAGGCACATAGCGGGTTTATATAATTTTAATCTAAGTCAGTGTTGTCGGATTTCAGAAGATGAAGTTTGGTATGGCCATAAATTCATCTTGATTGCTTCTGAACAAAGTTGTGTTACTATTCTTTGCTGATACCTTAGAATTTGTCTACTTACTATTTACAGGGCAGTAAGGGTGAAAGGGGGCAGCTGGGGCAGCCAGGACCTCCTGGGACACAGGTACAATATGTTTTATGATTTACTGTTAGAACTTAGGACGGTATTGTAAACAGTTAGTTTCCTGTTTGGATATCCGGTAGAGGTTGGGATACATGATTGAACAACTACTGTATATTCTTTCAGGGAAACTCAGGTGAACCAGGAATGGCTGGCCAACCGGGGCATTCAGGAATGCCAGGGATGAAAGGAAGCAAGGTATGCATGTTCCACACTTGTGGTTTGAATACTTTGTCTATTATCATGTTATTGGGTTACCTTGGAGCATACACTGTAGAATTATGAAAATAGCACGCAGGACAATGAATGGCATGGCATCCTTTGTGAGATGTTTAATTAATTTGAAAAATCCTGTACAAAAGGAAATGTGTTAACAAACTAGTGTAGTGAGCAGTGTGACAGCTTTAACAGATTATAGATCACTTTATACACAACAGTAATTAAATCACAGTGGGTTTTCTGCTGTCTCACTTCCTAAATCTCTTCTTGCTCTCTCCCTACACAATTCTGTAGTTTAAAAAACTAGAAGAAGTTCACTGGAAAGGCAAACTCAAAGTACGACTGAAATTTCCGTTTACCGATAGAACTCACTTTAATGATTCATCTCATATTATTTTGAAACCAAACCTAAAATATGAAGAACTGCCTTCTTCCAACACAAACAAGCTTAACCGGGCATCAATTCAAACTGAAACATTTTTAAATCTCCATATTTGCACATTGTTTTAAAGACAAAAAGTTTCAAAGAAAATGTACAGAGTCATCCAGTATTGTTTCTGGCCCAAAACAGGGAAGAACAGCAGCAATTACATTTACCATTACAGCCAATTAAATAATTACTACAGTCTGCTTCTGAAGCTGTATGAAAAGTGTAGAGTACTTTTTACTTTCAGGAATGGTGTAGAATACTGCTCATTGAACAGATTAGACTTGTTCATTTAGCTCTTTAATATTTATCTTTTCATTAGTTTATACTGTTCTTACACATAATGTGCTCTCCTTCTCAGATGTAGATGTAAATGAGGATGCATTTGTGTTGCTTTAAGAGGTTCTAAGACTTTGCTGTAGAACACATGTGAATGGTGTCATGGAAGCAATACAACAGTGCTATACAGTACTATTTAGTATATATACTAAACAATATATTGTATGACTGAATTCAGTTCTTAGCTAGTTAAAGATCTCAAACAAACAAGGATCAGTTCATTTTTCCATCCAAATCTCGTTTGTACATTTAATGAGGAAGGGGAAAAACTAACAGCAATTACATTCTTAAATAAAATTGTAGAGCCAGAAAGCCATTTATGGTTGGCTAGCTGTTTGTCCAAGTATACCACAGTAAACTTCTACAATAAATAATAGAAAATAGAATAATAGGCAAATTTACATGCTTAAATCTTTTGCATACAAGAAATGCATTAATGAAATAATGAAAAAGTTTCCAAATGAACCCTTATTAACAGGGCCGTGTTCGGAAAAAATACAGTGATTATTCAACATACTGTATATAAGAATGTCACCATCGCAGGCCATGTTTTTTTAAATAGAACTGTATAATAATATACTAAATACCATAGGAGGGCATTCGAAATTGAATTCAGTTGAGGAAATGGGCACAAAAATAACAACTGCATGACCTTCAAAGTCACAGTACAATTTGTAATGGACAATAAGGTCTGCATATATACACCACTGAATCTATTCCTACAGTGATTCACAATTTAGCATGTTGGGCCAGACCTCTGATTCATACCACTGCCTTAAGTTCACCTGCACATGCCCAATCTACACAGCTCAGACAGCTGCCAAACCTGCTACACCAAAGAACTGCTTTCTTGTTGCCGGGAATTTAAATGATATTGAGAAACCTGTTACACTTTTATTTTACACATTGAGCATCTTATAGGAATCAATCTCACTGATTAGTGTCACAGGACCAGTGTTACATGCAGTACAATCCCAGATTCCACCAGGGTCTTTGCCAGACCTGCTGTAGCACTGGTTTAGTCTTATGCTGCGGAGAGTTTGCACTCTACTGAGAATCCTGGCAGTGGTGTTACTGTGACATCTTACACTAGGTTTAATTGAAATTCGACTACCATTGAACACCATATTAAAAGTAGTCGCATTTCTTTGAAATTTGAATTTCAAACAGGCAACATATATCCACTATCACTAAATCTTTGCCACTTTTTCATACAGTCCTGTTGATTTTTGAATAATCAATCAATTATGTTGATTATAGGGAGAGTTACGTATGTGTGTCATGATATGATCTAAAAACACCTAATTCCATGGAAATATCATTTGCTCTGTTTTCTGAATTATTTCCTTGCATTTTTTCTTGTCACTCAGATATCCATCTACTGTATCTATACTGATTTTAAAGATTCAGTGGATATGCACACAAACCAAGACATGATATAGAGCAGATAAAAACTGGCTTGGATCTAAAATAAATATAGTAAGACAGGCTGCTGCTTTAGAAATCGATGAGGTCATGAGCCCACTCTTTGGGCCTCTAAATTACATAATCCATGGAACACAAGTTAACAAATCAGTACTGTAAATCACGGTATGATATAATAGGAAAACTGGATGTGACAACATCCTTAAACAAATTAACATGCTAAAGGGCTTGTAATTTTCTCCAAACTCTTTTTTTTTCACTTAAAGCCCTGCAGTTTTTTCAGTATTGTAGCCCAGATGTTGTAAAAATGTTTTGCAACAAGCAAAAATAAGTAAAGTATTCGTACTGTACTGATCTTAGCATTTCAGATATTTTCTATTTAAATGTGTGCAGAGGTAATTTACTTCTAGGGGTCTGTATCAGACTTTTAAAATCATTAATATTAATGAATTGCATATGTTTATCCTTACAAATACAGTAGCCGTTAATTATGATACTAATTGCCAATTCATACTACATTCTACTTACAGGGATCCAAAGGAAATGAAGGGGAAAGTGGAAGACAGGTATTTTGAGCATACAGATTGTGCATGAATATGTGAACATTCCACAATCATCCTAATGCTAAAGTAATGTATAGGAGGTACCCAATAAACGTTTCCAAATCGTTAATGAATACAAATGAAGCAGCCTCTGAGAGCACAGACAATAGCAGTGTTAGAATAACTGCAGGCCAGTCCAGTTCTCGTGGCCCAGTCCCCAGTACAGCCTACATCCGGAGTCAATTGCTGTTGCAGCCCCCTCTGCTGCAATAAAGTGTATTTGCACCAACACCTTCCACATGATCTGCTGAATTGAGAAGAGCTGGTACTCATTTGTCATGTTTTCAATGTCTCTCAGTATATTTTAAACATTTTACCACATATTTAGAATCCATACTAGTCTTATGGTGAAATCTTCAGAAAATTACAGAGGTAACAAAAGAAACATATTGTGCCTCTAACTTTGAAAAGGAAAACACTTTAAACCTTTGGCATAGCATCAACGGAAAAAGACATTAAAAACTCTTTTTTAGAATATTTTCCACCACACTTGGTAGCTAGGATTCTTTGACATACTGTATACCCTGCAGATCAAATGTTTACACAATCAGTATATGGATGATGAACAGCATGAAAGTTATAATAAATGGTGAATTAATTGCTCCTTATTTTGAAGCATTACAGAGATATAACTGTATAAATCTATTTTTTAAACAAGGAGATGTGTTTTTAAACACTGCTATTGATTTTTATTGTTTTTTTTTGCTATTTAATTTTCAGGACATTTTGCTACATTTGAATGTGTATTTCTCTTCTGTACACTTTTGTTATGAACCTGAACATCATGGATTTGCACTCTATTGCAAACTCCCAGCCTAAAGAAACAAAATTTGTTTACTTAAAAAGTGATTTAGGAACAGCTGTGCTGATGGATGTTAGCATAAAGTGTTAAGACAATTTTTAAACACAAGGAATTGTTTAAGAGAATATGACTGTGGATTGCTGTTTTCCATTCACTAGAAACTGATCTGCAACTAATCGAATACAAGGTTTATTGCATCCTTGCAGAAGTGTTTTTTCTTTATTTCCTGGAATTATGCTGAGCAAACATTGACTTCAAACCAGGGAATAATTCCGATAATTTGCGTCTTTGGAAACAGTAGCAAATGTGGGTACGCCACACGTCTTTGCCCAGAGACCACCGAGTATAAGTTACATCTTTAATGCTCACACCAAGGCCAATCTAATTCATTGCACAACCGCTGTTCATGTAGCCCTAATACAATTATTGCAATTGTTCTGGTTGTGATTGTGTAACTCTCTCGGCGCATTCTTATTTTTTGGTTTAGAACGCACTAAGAAACAAAAAAAGTAATGCATCCTCTGTGCCATGGGTATTTTGAAGTGCTTTCTCATGCTTTGCCTTGTGTTTATTACACCATTATCTGAAAATAAAAAAACAATGGAAAAATACTTCCCACAGATGGAACACACATTCACTTAGTATTCCCTGCCTTCACATTCGGCCAGGGCTTGCTGATTTCTGTCTCAGCCATCATGGCTGCCACACTGCAGAAGTGGGGTGTCTCAGGAATTGAACGTGTGTGCTACCCACAGAACTGCTCTGGGTTTAAAGTGCTTTTATTCTTCAGGGCTCAAAGGGAGAAAAGGGAGACTCAGGAAGAGCAGGGACCCAGGTAAGCACATTCTGAAACCTTTTCTGAACCCGGGAGGGCAGTTTCATGATGGCCGGTCCACTGCTCCCGCGAAGTGTAGTTCAGGACCCTGTGCAGACGGTATAATCTGGAAGTAAGTGGAGGACATCAGGGAGGAGATGACGAGGATCAGGGCAGGTTGACAGGGGAGCGTGACAGTGGTGAACTGGTGCTCGGGGGGCGTGGCCAAGGCAGACAAGTCCAGGGAGTCCAGAGGGGAAATCCGGGGCGCAGTCCAAAGTCCAAAACGGGGTGATCCATCAGAGATGAGACAAAATATAGTTAAAATCCGGAACAGGGACAGGGAAAAAAACAGGGTAACGAGGCCAGGTGCTCCGAGTCTCAGCCGATTCCGGTCGTGACAGGCTGCTGTTACAGTCAACCACAGGTCGTGAATGGGCTGGGACCTGTGTTAGGTTGAACACTTCACATCTATGAATATACTCTATTCCCCTGATGACACAAGTAGAAACCAGATGATAACCTTCAAGAATTTTTTTTATTTTCATTAAGATAGTCAATGATAAAAATAAATATAATGAATTATTGTAAAGTGTACATTATATTAACATTATGTCTTTTTCCTTTTTGGGGGGAATATTACATTACTTGCAGGGGTTATCCGGTGTACCTGGATCGAAAGGGGAGGTATGTGTTTTATTTTTTCAATAAGCCGCCTTATATTGGCAATTCCACGCGTTTATGATTTATGTTCAGGATCTGGTATTTCCAATCCTCAAGAAGGAATTAATTACAGAACTAAAAAAGTACAAGAGGCTGTAAAACGGTTTTGAGCTAAAAGAAAGACTACTATTGCGTCTACGCAGCTACCCAGCACACAGAGAACAAAAGAGGCTACTGATGTCTAGTGTTTTTTTATTAGTAGTGTAGTAATACAGTATAATTGTTGTAATGATGGAGCTCCTGCTGTTTAAAATATCCTGTATTTCCAGCAGGTGGGTAACCCATCGTTTAACAGACGGGTTTTGTTTCGATGCAGAAAGGGGCACCTGGAGAACCTGGCCTGAGAGGTCAAGCTGGTCACCGGGGGGAGCCCGGCCAGCCTGGCCAGCCCGGTTCTGCTGGGCCGAGAGGACCAAACGGAGCTGCGGGAGCATCAGGGCCACCCGGGCCTGCAGGGCGACCCGTACGCACTGGACTTCCCGTTGAAAAGCCTGATAAAACAAGGACACACATACTGTACACACATAGGTGCATCACCACAGACTACACAAAGCATCGGGTCCTCCCTGTTGGCTTCTTTTACAGACCAGCATTTAAATTCTCCAGGGCAGCTTCCATAACACGTCTGAGATGTTCATCGCCTGTAGGGAAGGGGCGTTTAGGGGCACTTTACATGGGGAGCTCCCTCCGTCAACATAGCAAAGCATTTGTGATTTAATGTTCTTATTTTTGCCTTAATTTGCCTTAAAAACTTAATTTAAATATTACATATGGTGCATAAACTCATCCACTATAAAATCAAGTAATTTTTAGTAATTTGTTTAGCTTTGTAGACAGCATGATGATAATTTCTTCAGCATAAACTGGTATCTCCAAATTCTTCTTCCTTAGAATATTCAGCAAATTTTGCGGTGCTTGAATGTGCTGTACTTACACAATACTGCGGTATAAACAGTATCCGTTTGTTTCTTCAGTCCTCAGTTGTACTTTATTCTAATAGGGGAGAGAGCTTTCAGAAGAATTCATCCGCCAAATTTGTAGAGATGTCTTAAGAAGTAAGTAACAAAACAATTTCCTTTTCATCTTTTCTGTGACCTTGGACTTCTTTGTGGTTTTAATGTTGTACTGTAAATGTGTCACAGAAAACACATTTCATTTGAGGGAAAAAATAAAATTTAAAGCGTAGGGCATGAGGCAGGGTGGGAAGAACTAAGACAGCTTTGAGTCTCAGGGCTGTTCTTTCATGCAATTATTCTTATTCTTACTATTATTATTCCTGTCAGCAATCCACAGTGTGAGAATGTAAAAGCAAAGCTTTTAATATCATACCCACAAATCAAATGGTCTTGGTCTTCAAAGTCTACATGGCCTTTCCCAGCTCTTGAGGAACATGATCCATTCACAGTTACTGAGTCTATAACATCCAGCATTGTTAAGAGGTATCGTGCTCTTAAGTGAGCTCCTCACTGAAAATCACTGAAATTTGTTTTTCACTTGGAGGTTGCAAGTTACAATGTGTAAATAAATGTAAACATAAATTCTGTGCTAGGGCACAGAATGCATTACTTTGGAAAGGGTGTGTGGACTTTCTATAGGCACAGTAATAATATACATATATTAATATATAATATGAATCTGTTTATAATGAGATTAATATATCTTCAAATTAAATTGAAAGCCCTAAAGTTTATGAACAGAAAACCCCGGCGAGCGAGAACTGACAATAAGCATGTCCTCTCTCGTGTGCTCGCTTGCAGCGGAGATCCCCTCTCTTCTCCACAGCGGCCGGATACGCGGCTGTGACCAGTGCCAGACCAGAGAGGGCTCTCCGGGCCTCCCAGGTCCCTCGGGGTCGCAGGGCCCCAGGGGTCTCCCTGGGCTCCCGGGAACGGACGGATCGCAGGGCCGTCCGGGAGCACCTGGGCTCCCCGGCACTCCTGGCGCTAAAGGTGCTCAAGTTCCGCATCGCAACCCCGAGGGGCAGGTCTGAAGGCTCTTGTATGTTTGCAGCTCGATGAATATGAACTGGTTGTCCTGGCTATCTGTGTTCGCAGGAGAGCCGGGCGATAAGGGCGAAAAGGGCAACTCAGGACGGGGGGAGCCAGGGCCTGAGGGGCCCCCTGGACCAGCCGGTAAGACACTTGCGGTCAGCCTGTCCGCCGCTCCGCTGCGCTCTGGACAAACTGGGGATGGAGAGTTCGTTCCCACTCACATGCTGGGAGGGAACTGTGAAAGGAGCAAAATATTCAGCCGTTTCGATTTCATATATATTTGGGAATGAATTTTTAATGAGCACGGTTTCTTCTTTACAAAGTCAGTGAAGATAAAACTGGTGGGGAAAGGGCTGAATTCATGTGACACATTAAATGTGTGAGGCATCGTGGCTTTAAGCAAACGCACTGGTCCCATAATATAATACCACAATACAAATCTCACAGTCTAACAAAAAATGGAACAGAAACATTAAAGAAATAGTCTAGTATGTGCAGAGATGTCAAGGTCACTGTAGTAACCCCAGTGTTCACTCAACTTCCAGGTCTGATGGGTCCTCCTGGGATAGGAAAGCCAGGCTATCCTGGGAAACCCGGCCTTCCTGGACATCCTGGAGATCGGGGACACCATGGGAGCCCCGGGGCCCCCGGACAGCCAGGATCCTGCGACCCCTCTTTGTGTTATGGTGTGATGGTGGGAAGAGATCCTTTCAGGAAAGGACCAAATTATTGAAAATTCTGATGAAACTTCAGCCAGCAAGTCTGGACATGGTGCTTAACTAATGAAAATAAATCTTTCATATCTCAGGAAGATCATGTTTTAACACTCTTCCCTATAACTGGGACAAGAGTACCTCTTTTCAGACACTTGTACAGTATTTAAAGAGAGGCACGGGCATACATGAAAAATACCTAATGTGCATTTCACGCGGCAGCATAGAATAAATGATGGATATTTTCATAGCAAGACACAGATACAAACCTATACAACATCCATCGCTATGCTCAATCTCATTCATGCTGTACTTGCAATGTATAAAAAGCTGTGCAAGAGCTCAGACTGACACCTTAAACAATCAGGTGATGTGACTAAGAATTATTACAGTCAATGTCAGTTCCTGAGACTGCATCAGGCACACAGATAGGTATTTCTTCTCTGTTTAACTCTTCACATGCTTAGGTGATAAAGGCATTCATCATTGCATTGACTGATACAGCAGCTTACCAGTATAAACCTCTTCTGAACGACCACTATTTCTGCTTCTCCCAGTGCTGTTAGATTGTGGCTTTCTGAATTTCTAATAAGTCATTTGCTGAACAGCTCTGTCAAACATGCATTTAGTTTGAGCTTACTTGTTGCATCAGAACATCAGCTTCCCTGCACCTTTTGTTCCGAGCCACACAAATCCTCTATACCCAGATAAGGTGAATGGGAAGTATATGTCAGTTTAGTATAGCTACAGTATATCTTAGAATCCTTTGGGTGTTTCTTCAGAGTTATGTGAGCCATCATTATATTGTCTGTTTTATTATTGAGCTTTTTTGTAGCATCTCCTAAATGCTTCTACAGTAGCATAAATAGTATAGAAGATAGAAGAGGCACCATATTCTTCAGTGGTAGCATCTCAAATCACTTACTACTGGTGACATACTAAATGAGACAGTGTAAGGATGATTATGCAAAATGCATCAATCACAACACATACTGTAGAAATAGTCCATTACTGTTGGTGTACTCTGGTCTGTGACTATGACATTTTCTTTTGCCTAAGCTTCAACAAGGTCTGAAGTTAATAAGTGCAGGTAAAATATGTGTCTTTTTGACACACAAAACCTAAAAAAACTACACGATTGTTTGGCAATGAAATGCATGTAGGCAAGAAAAGAACTAAGCACTGGGATTCTAAACTTAACAATTCTGATAGACCATTTTTTAAGTTGCTTTCCTACAGGTCTGAAAATAAATTCTTCTTCTCAGCGGCATTTCTTTTATCTCACACATGGTTCTTGGAATCAAATGCATTGATTATTTCTTGCAATTTGATGTCTAAACTATGACCCTTGTGAGATTGTTATTATCATCACTGTTAATTCTGATGCAAACATCATAATAGTTCTTGAAGAAGATAAGAAGTCATCTTTCCACTTCAGCGTGAAGAGATGACTTCCATGACCAAGACAAACTTGTTGCTTAAATCCTGGTACATCCTGTGACTGTAGGAAACTCATGCCTATCATAAGCTTAACTCTGTGAATATTAAGCCATAGAACAGTGCCATGGCAGAGTTCGTGTCTAGTCAAGTTCAAAAGCTACTTTAATACAGTAAATGGTTGCTGAAGTTTGTATTTATGATTGCCTTTATAGTACTTTTACAATGTAAGCCTATTTATGACTAGAAACTAGGGAGAAAATAGCTGTATTTTTATAGATGCCTGTTAAAACAAGAAAATTGCTTTTAAAACAAGAAAATCTGAATCCTAATTATACTGAAAAGAATACAAATTGGTACTTTTGCAGCCATGTCCTGATTTAACCAAAAATCAGCAAAATATAATTCTTGCTATACGTCATTGCCAGTGCCATGAAAAACAGTACCTTTTATCACTATAACAAATTTTCTTATTTATAGAAAACTAAATCAATTATTATATGCAATGGCGCTGTGTCTATGAGTGACTTTTTCTGTTGCAATGTCTAACTTTAATACTATGTTTTTTTTCTATTAAATTTTTGTATGGGCCTTTGATATCTTTAATAAATACTTTTTTAATGACGTCTGTGGTTTTATTTAACCATCCCAGGACTGTAGAAAATCACTTTCACTACAGTGTAGAGCTTCACTGCATTGCAGGACAGCCTTAATCTTCACAGATAAGTCATATATATATATATAACAGGAACAAATACACTGGGTTACAATGACCTATTGCCTTAGAAAATAAAATGAAATTGGATATTCTGTATTATATCGGAAGAAACATTTCTCCAATACTAAAGTCTGATACAAGGTAACTACTATAACCATGCATTACATACCTGAAATTGTAGCTCAGGCAAAATTGTCATCATGTGAATGTAAGTAACTTAACCAAACACTGAACCTTCTTTAATTCCAACTGTAACACTTATGGTTAATGTTAGGCAAGACTGAGGCTAGGGCTATTGTAAGGTTAAAGCGTAGAACAGAATTAAGGTTAGTTTATGAGGACATCAAATATTAACCATTACCTGCCTACAGTAATGAACATATGTCATTGAATCATAATAATATGCTTAAAATGATCTCCCTAAAGCTAAACTACCAAACACCTGGCACATCTGAGATGTTGAGAAAATGAAGTTCAATCAGTCGTTAGGCATTATATTTAGTGCACATTTAAGCTGACTCTCAGCTGTAATTTAGATTTCATAGACATGGATCTTCTTAACGCTTTCTTTCTCCATTATATGTGAGTTTATTAATTAATCTAGCAACTTTGGGCCACTACTTTCTGGTCTCTCTTGTCTAGGATTGTTTTTTATTTTGGGGATAAATCTGTTCTGTGTTTCAAGCAGAATATGTTTAAACAGATATCATTCTTTCTCTGTTGATTCCATATCTATTCTGTCCCTCTCTGTCAGTATAACACATTCCTAAACAGTCTGTTGCCTGAAAAGGTAAGCCTTTGTTTTGGATGTTATATGTACAATTGTAAAGCCATGCCATCCTCTAGTATGTATTCTGACAAACTGAGAAAGGAAGGTATCTTTTGCCACATCTACAGTTTCATTTTCTGCTTCTGATATCCCTATTGTTTTTTTACCAAACTAGGTGAGGAAAATGATAACATCGCATAAAAAGCACTTCTTTCCTGAAACATACTGTATGCTCCTGATCTCATTAATAAAGACTGCAGTTTAACTGATTTTATTATTAGTGTTTATTTTTTTAGCATGGGACACCCCTTTAAACGTGACTTTGCCAATTCTTTTTCCCTGTTAAAAACATTCAGACGCTTCTCATCTCAGCTGCTGAGCGCTGTGCCTTATCTGCCAGGTGAGGCTGGTCTCTAATCCTGCACGTCTATATTGGCCCAGTGAGAGAGTGAGAGAGCCTACAGTATTTTTTCAACAAAACAGAGATGTATAAAGAGTACAATGATCCCAATTATGATATATTCAATAATTATGATTAATAACGATAAAAACGTATTCATTCAGAATACATTTGCTACAGTACATTACTCCTAACATTATGCCTTTTTTATCAGTCTTTGTGCAAACCTAGTCCACAGTTTCTCTGTTGGCTCTGCTCTCTTCATATTCCCTCTGTAGACTGGCCTTGGATACTCTCTCCTTGGATTTTAGTGTAAATAATCTTCAGGCACCTGACTGAACACTCAAGTTGTAGAACAATGACCCTCTCATGCAATAAACTTCAATGCAAATGATTTCTGAGTTCATTTTCAAACTGTCTATGATGCAGTTCTAGATTAGAAATGGGTATTAGCATTTCTCAAAAGCATCTTCATTACTGTGCTCTGTATAACTAATAACTGTAATTATTTAGTACAGATGATGCTGTTTGTGGTTACCCTCTAGTGTTAAATTAAATTATACACAGGAGAACATTAAAACATCTCTAACAAAATTCTCTTATTTACTTTGTATATCTAGTTTTGAAACAACAAAGAGTCATCTAACACGTGCAATACTGCCAACTCTTAATACTGTACTATGTACCCACAGTTTACTTTTGTGCTGAGATATTTTAGAAATAATAAAAATAGCAAGAAGGTTTGTTCCTTTCATTTACATAGCGCTTTTCATCTGAAAGGATTCCAACATGCTTTACATGCAGGTGGTATATTACTTCATCCATCAACGCAGTGCTGCACTCAGCTGTATGATCCATTATACAGCAGATCAGCTAGAGAGGTGAAAAACTTTGGGGTACTTCCGGTAAGCCACACTGCGCATGCTCAAAGTGAAATTTAGCGTGAACATCAGTGTTAACAGTTCTTCTCTGATTAACATACTATGGGATCTTCCACCCCAAAAATGGTGCTGTATCTCCTACAGTGCAGGCACAGTGTACAGACCCAATTCTGGGGCACTGGTAGGGAGACTAAAATCCAAAGGCTAGAGCGCCATCTACTGGTCCATCAACACTACTTATAGCAAAAACGTGACTTTCCTTAGAAAACCGAGTCTCCCAGTTAAGTCTCCAAAAGTCACATATTCCAGTAATGATCAGGCCCAGGCTTACTTACAGTACGTTCTGAGATCTGACATGCATGATGGTCCAATATACACCCCACTTTAAAAAAGCTGCACAACAGAGAGTTATGTGCAGTACTTTTCCCGAAACATCTTGATTTCATCCAGTATAGAAAGCCTGTTTTCTAAGTACACAACATATTTTAATGAGGAGCAGGTGAAAGTTAATTCCACAATAAAAAGTAGGAAGCAACATTTTGTTTTAATTAAACTTTTCTTTCTGGAATGGCAGAGGTGTCCACATTACCATTTTCTGTTGAAATGAGAACTTTTTCCTGTTTTAATTCTGACAATAATTTGCATCAAAGGTATGTTTTTGGTAAAGTATTTAATTTAAAATTCCTTTTCAACACAGTATTAACAGCCAGCAGCTATTCACCCTGCAACTCACAACTGACCCAATGAAGCTCAGCAGTGTGAGCCGGGACAGTACCTGGAAATAAGAGACCTCCTGGGAAAAAGGCTGCTGCTGGAAGTGGTGTTAATAGGACCAGCAGGGGGTGCTCACCTCCTAATGTGGCTCCTAATGCCCCAGTATAGTGATATTAGGACATCTAACTATGCCATAAAAAAGGTGCCGTCCTTCAGATGAGATGAAAAACCGAGGTCCTGACTCTCTGTGGTCATTAAAACTCCCAGGGTGTTTCTCGAAAAGAGTAGGGGTGTTACCCTGGTGTCCTGGCCAAATTTCCCCCTGGCCTTTACCAATCATGGCCTCCTAATAATCCCCATCTCTGAATTGGCATCATCACTCTGCTCTCTTTCTGACTGAGAGCTGGTGTGTGGTGTATCATCCAGGTGGATGCTGCACACTGGTGGTGGTGGAGAGGAGTTCCCATTACCTGTAAAGCGCTTTGAGTGGAGGGCTATAGAAGTCCAAGCAATAATTATTTAGCATAATCATAGGAAAATGCTAAATAATAATTCTTTATTGATAAGCCTTTTTCATCCTTCTTATATCAAACTAATGAAGCTAAGACCACGTCTGGCTGAAGAGCAGCAGCCATTCTGCACCAGCAGCCCCACTAACAGCTGATCAGGTAGAGAAGAGAGACGTGAAAGGGATTTAGCCAGGATACCCGTGTTCATATCTCTACCAATATCACATGGTGCTTTGGGATATTTAATGGCCCTGTCATCAGGTTTAATGTCTGTTTCAATGAAAGACACCTTCTAATCCAAGGTGTGTTTGATCACCACACTGGATTACTGGTCTGGAAATGACTGTTTAGGGAAACAGTGCCACCTGCTGCATCACCAAGACATCCGTGTGTATCAATGGGGTTTTCCTTCAACGCCCCTCATCCCTGCTCTGACTGGACCCAGTCCAGCTTTGCGTCTGAGCACTGGCTAGAGGCTACAGGGTACCTACTGTAAGCTGCTGCCCCAAAGCAGTGAAACACCAACAACAGCAAAGTCACCCTTAGTCAATCCGTGAAGAGATGATCAAACTCTTTTGAGCTTTACGGGTTTTACAGAAAACAGAGGATACTTATGTAATGACTCAACCTTATATAATTTTAAAATACAATAAATTCTGACCGCAACAGGAAATGCATTCTAGTTATTGTAAGCCAGGGGTCTGTGTGTAGAAATCATGGACTGCATGTGACACAGATTTACACCCACTATTAAAAGCTGCTTATTCCCGGTAAATTACTGCAACCTGGAATCACTCCTGCAGACACAGGACACATTGCAGGGCTACACCCTGGGCAGGAAACCAGACTATTTTTATCTTTATCTTAAAACAATTTTATTGTCCATCCAAATGGGTGGAAATTTAACTTTGGTATCACCATAAAAACAATAACAAACAAATAAAACTCAATATAAAATAAATATACATTAAAAACAAACGATAGCCTAGTCATGCAACAACACACATACTGTACACACATCTGTCTCCTCATATTACATTATGCCATTACAATATTCCGATAGCTTCATTCCGTCTTGACAACAGGCACTCTAAAACACCTCCTTGAAGCCAACGGAAATGGGAATGAAGAGGCTGGAGGGGTCATCAAAGACATCAAAGATAATCTGACTTTTCCTTTTAAATGAAGTATAATGCAACTCTTTCAGCTGTTTCTGTGGTCAACCAATTATTTTACTAGCAGTATTAACAATATTGGCCAAGTTGCCTTATTCTTACAGTCTACCCTCCCACACTGTAATACTAAAAGCAAGGATGCTCTCTACTAACACTCTCTAAATCATTTTGATTTAGCCCAAACCCAGCCTGACCAGCCTTCATAAAAATGCAACTGGTTTTCCCTGCAAAGTTTAATTGTTAATCTACATCTGTTCCTAGGCATTAGAAACACTGAACAATCTCCACAGTTGATTAATAAGGGAGAGAGGTTGAAAATTGAATGTTTTTCTATCACAAGTAGCCAGTTCTTTGGTTTTATTAACTATAATATGAAGCATGCATGACTGACCCCACCATTCCAGTTTACTGATCTGCCCTTCTCTATCATCTCCAGCAAACAATCCTTCCAGGACCATATAATCTGTGTAGTTTTAACAGATTAACTTTCAATAGATCATTTGTATATACAGAAAATAGTAAAGGTGACAAAATAGAGCCCTAGAGAATACCACTATTTAAAAAAATGTCATTTGTATTGTTCATTGTTCACAAGAACCCGCTGTGGGCAACCAGTTATAAAGTCCTTAATCCATTTCATACACCTCCCATTAACATCCAAACCCAACAGCTGTTCCAACAGTGTGTGGGTCTGAATCATATTAAAGGCTGAACTAATATCAATAATGTGGAGAGTACACACGTAAGCACACACAGATGCCAGCATGCTTTTAGAAGGCGGGAGGAAACCAGAGAGGCAAAGGAAATCAGGACACACACAGAGAGTCCAGAAGTGCACCAGGACCCAAGAGCTGTGAAATAATGTACTGAATGTCACTGCTCGTACAGTATGCCCGTCTCTAAAGCTTAATCTCAAGCCACGGGCCTGAAGGACAGGCATTTCTAAAGATCGTGAGCATTTGTAAGTTAATAATAATTTGAGCATGTCGTTTTTTTCAGGTAGGAATCCTAGTGTTAGTGGACTAAAGGGTACTCAGATTTTGGTCCCAAATGACCTTTTAATTTTTTACCAAATCACCCGTTTAATTAATCACAAGTAAATTGTTCCAAACCTTGAGAAACTGATGATTTAATGGCGACCTACTGTATAAAGCCTGATGGACAAAGGCTCTCCTGAACCAGGGTTTGTAGACTCCATACACTGTAGAACAACAGCAAAGCGAACAGGGCGATCACAACTCCTGTAGTTCCCCTAACTACCCGCTTGATGGCGATGTGGTCCTTCTATCGCTTTGTAATAACTTCCTGCATCCGAGCTGAAATGAAAAGGCAAGAAAGGCGACTTCTTAAAACATCCTGTCTATTCTGTGAGTACATATTTTAAACAAGGGAAACTATTGAGAAGTCTGGAAAAGCGTTTTATCCTACTTGATCACATCTGATGATGATACAAACACCGGTTTGCATTTGCTATGACACACTCCATACAATGTTTGGATACTTTCCTCTTAACGACGTTGACAATAATAGTTCCTTACATCTCTATACCGCTTTTCGTCCCAAAGGATCCCAAAGCGTTTTACACGTAGGAGTGGGACTGTGCGGGCCGAAGCGCTCCAGCAGAGCGGCCGCTGCAGTCTGGACGGCCTCTCCGTGACTTTCAGAGCGGGCATGAGGAAGGCCAGAGCCCACTCTGAAGAATCGCCCAATGGGATCATTAATGACTAATAGTTAGCAGTAGGCCATGGATTTCAAACGATCGTTGCTTCTAGAAGACAAATCGCACCCTATTGCCAAAAGAGACCCAAATCCTAATACATACAGTAATTTGGTGGTCTCTTCAAGTTGAAACGTGGTTTGTAGTGTCTCTAAGGTCGGTGGGACGACCATAGCTTTGTTTAGACGGAACGAGACGCGCACTTTCAGTTGATGCCATAACTTCATCATTTTCATGAACACGAATTACACCCTCGTAGAGCTTTTCTCGAATTATTATAATATAATATAGGCAGATACTAATTCTTAAAATACAGGATGCTGGCGGTGAGTCGGCACTCGGGGGTGGATAACTATCTATTCCAGTAGACACTTGAAGGGATCGTTAAGCGTATGTTGATAACATATTCAAGTACTTTTACCATCTGCCTGTATACTGTACATAGCAACTCCTTTGGCAAGTCCAAATCCCCCACTCTTCCCTCACCGCCATTATGGTATTGCCGCACTCTGTTCCTATTCCATTCTCTCGACTGTCCCGTGAATTTGTCCTCTCCTTCAATCTGTACAGGTCTACCAATCACTGAAGTGTAAGTCTGCCCTCCGAACCCGACTGATGGAGACAATCCTGTCGCTGAAGCTTGTTGTTTGCGTATTAGTACGGTATGAAACGCCTGCGGTTTTATGAACGAAGTGGTATTTATGACAAAGGCAACAAGCGTAAGAATCGTCTTATGATTCTTAAAGGTACGTATGGTATGCATATAGTATGTATGCATATTAGTTCTTAAAAGTTAAATATTGTAACGCAACGGGGGTTCAGGTGGGCGCCCTTGGCGCATTAGGTCGGCCCCGCACCGTCGGGGGCTCGAACCCGGGATTCCCGCGTCATTCAACAGGGACCCAGCCCGGTGAACTAAAGAGATCAATCTTATGAAATACGTACTTCGTTTAATTTACACAAAAAAAAATGCAGCCCCACTATTTTAATAGTCAACGATAACGTCGCCGGGCTATATTTGTTAACGGTTCAGGTGGGTAGCTGCGTCAGCATGCGTAGGCTGCAAAGAAGAAAGAGAACACAACGTTTCGGCCGTGGAGCCTTCTTCAGGAGAAGGCTCCACGGCCGAAACGTTGTGTTCTCTTTCTTCTTTTTTTCAGCATGGAATAAACCTCTTACTTGTATATTTGTTAACACCTGCGTGTCTTAGTATGGGCGTGAACACGAGGAGAAGCTTCGCGCCCGCGCCTTTGGTCCGCTCTGAAGCCGTTTTACCTCGCATTCCTGTGTTTGCATGCTGAGCCTGAGAAGTAATGCGCTCTACTTCACTGGCTCTGTAATTAGTAGCTATCTGCAGGGCGTGTCTTTTGAAGTACAAGTCACTTTGAAGCTGAAAATAGGTGTGTGTGCTAATTCTTTTTTTTGTGTGTGGTAGGCGTTTAATTTCACTGAAGTCATTACACAACAATTTTAGGGAAATGCAGCAAAACGCACTATCTGTGCAACCTGTAGGCTTACTGAGTCAGCCCGAGTGTGGACTATTTTAAAAACTTCACCAACGGTACATTTTATACACACTTGTGTAGGCCGGAAACCAAAAACGTATTTGCAGTTCAAAAGTCTTACGTCTAGGATCAAATTGAAGAAAAAAAACAATATTAATGCAGAAAGAGTGATTGTTCACATGTCCGTATTTTCTAATACTGTAGATCCCTTGGACTGTGAATCCTGAAAGAAAACATAAATCTTACGTAAATTTTAAAAACTATGATCTATAATATGCGCAGTCTCTGGATTGAATTAACCTTTCCTTTCGAGAACACATTCATCCAGAGCATCGACAAAGAAAACAAAAGTTCTTTGGATGCATTTCAGATGCTGAACTTTTAAAATGCCTTTCTCTGCGGGAGGCCTTGGGACAGACAGGTGTTGGTACAGTATACAGGTTGAAGGACGGAGAGGGCACAATAGGTTTAAAGAAAAGCGCCACAAAATTGCTTCATTCACTGAAATTCTGTATTATTCAAGGGGCACCTACGAGTCAAATAACTTTAAGTACATCTGACGTTTGAGGCGTACGGTTTTGATAGTGCTCTTCAATTGGGTTTTTAACAGAAAAACAATTCCGTCAACGAACAATACATTTATGTAACAGTTTTGCGTTTTTTTTTCATACAAGAAAACGAATGTGCTTCGGAGTTAACAACGAGCTGTGATACATGATTTGCATGGCCTTTATGTGCCTTCAGTGTTCGGAACGCATGTTCTTCTTGAATGCGATGAGATTCTCATTGGTTCATAAACCAAATCTGTGCTTTTATTTTGCGTTTCACTTGGATCCTCCGCGGTTAGCTCTCCGCAGAAGGTCCCTTAGCCTAGACATAAGCTGTAGCTCCGAAAAAGAGAAAACGTGTTTGCAGCTACCTTTTCACGGAATAGCAGCTATTATTTCTACAGCAAAGTATGGCCTTTTTTACCAGTTCAAAAACCGCTCTCTCCCTTTTCACTAAATAAAAACGTGTACGTTACGTACTGTGCTGCATATGGCTATTGATGTGACAATAAGTTATAAGATGTCCTTCAGTAGCCCACTTCTCTTTCGCCTTCATGTCTTTGTTTCTTGCAAAGACATACACACTGGTGTCAATATTAAAAACTTCAGACACGTCAACGCATAGCCTGTTGATAAAGAATTCATTTTCCCTATTCAATGGCAGTACCATTAAAATGATAAAAGCCAGGCCGCACAAACGCTATATTCTCCTTTAGAATAGGTGTAATTAAATGCTCATGTTGTTCCTCATTGACTGGTTTAAAGTCGTTTCGGATTACAAGCAGCTCTCCTCTTTCACAGCGGGGCTGCAGCGCATTTCATCTGCCTGTCACTGAAGCTGCAGCGCTGCGGCCGCTAGAGGTGCGTGCAGCACTCACGGATCAGGGTGGGATGGACTTTTGGAAACTTTTGGCTTCCACAAATTCCCTTGGAATATACTTTAGTGCTGACGTTAAGCATTGCAATACAAACACACTTACAAATTGCTTATACTTATATATATATAGTCATCTGTGCTCCGGGGGAACAGATTGTATGCATATACAGGACGTTTTCTGTGCTTAAGCTTCGAGGGACCTGCTGTACCTGCTGGATGAGCGCATCGAGAGGCGCAAGGTGTAAGAGCACCGCCTGAAGAATCAGTAAGCGCTTTTTTTTTTTGAGGAGTTCACTTTTTTAAACGTCTCAACGGCGCGTTTCAGTGTGTTTAACGCGTGTGTGTGAATGATATCATTTGGGGATTTCTGAACACGAAGGATTCAGCTCACCAGCGCTTCCAATGACACACGGTGTCGTGCGCGGGCACACTGGTGTGATACAGTAGCACTGAGAAGGAATCCGAATAGGATCCGACGGGAATTAATAAACGGACCCCCGAGAGAATAAAGGACTTTTGGAAAATTAAGTGATAAAATGCAACTCTACAATGATGTAAAATACGTACTGAGGTAAAGGATAACGACAAGAAAGAAGCTAACTTACGAATTGGGAGACGTCTGCTACAGTGATTCCACTGACATGAAAACCTAAAGAAATCTACTTGCGCGTAGACAACGGGTAGTTTTAACGTGCTCAAACAATGAAACCGTTAACACTTTTCTGCCGAGCCTCACTTGGGCTGTTGTGGATGTGCTGGGGTGTTCTTGATTCCGTACACTGCGGCTTGGGCGACAACCATGCCCACTCGAGTTTTATTTACAGGAGGTTGCGTAACCACGAGCGGAGAGAAATCCAGAGAGAAATCCTTTCGATTCTGGGCTTGCCGCACCGTCCCAGGCCGTTCTCCCCGGGCAAGCAAGCTTCCTCCGCGCCTCTGTTCATGCTGGACCTGTACAATGCCATGTCCACGGAGGAAGAGGACGCGGTGCTGGGAAGTACCAGCAAGGGGACCCCCGGCAAGTCGCAGAGCAGTTCCCGCAAGGGGTACTACGGCTCACCACACGAGTACTCCCGTGCGGCGCAGTCGTACCGCGCAGGCCCCCTGACTAGTCAAAGCCCTCCTCTGGCGACCGCACACGACACCAACTTTCTGAATGATGCCGATATGGTTATGAGCTTTGTCAACTTAGGTAGGTATGCGTTCAGAGCCTCTGGATAGTGTGATTTAGCACACAAAAACGCGTTTGTTCCAGGATGCTGAGCAGTGCCTTCACAGGACCTTCAAAAACAGAGCAGAGTATTCATGGGGGGAAAAGCTACACCAGTTTCACTGCCGCGCGTAGCTGCTTGGTTGAATTAGTATATTTTCTGTTTTCAGGCTCATGAAATTCTGCGTTGGGAAATGTTCTAACGTGTTGTCGACATAGTTGCGGCAGTGGACGTAGCATGATCTGCTTTCTTATTGTATCAAAATGGCATATTGACGCTAAATCATTATAAAGTATATTGCTTTTTAATTTACTGAACCACACTTTTAATCAGCGGTGAAAAGTTTCAAACGGACCATTTGTCATTGATTTCGACTAGGAAGTTCATTGTTTCCGAAGCCGTCTAATGTAAATACTGTCGAGCTCAAATTAATAACTTTTTACCGAGTTTACTGTAAAGACTGTAATTTGCAAACAACAGAGCGTCAGGTTAATTTTTAGTTCCTCTTGATTTTTGTAATAACTAGCAGTGCGTTTCGTTCTCATCTCTTAAAGGTTTTCACTAGATCGGAAGCAGGTGTGCAGCTTAGACATTGCTTTCGTGTACATTATAATACATATCATATAACATCTGAATCTACTAAAAACCTACAGCAGTAGGTAATCAAAACTAAATTATTATTCTTAAGGTAAATAAGCACAACGTATAACGGTGTGATCCAAGTCACTGTACCAACGGGACAACAGCAATGTACAGAATGCAGTTAAGAGAGCAAATATACTGTAGGAATGCAAAATCAAGCTACGCAACTCTTGTCTGAATCAAGTTAATGAGGAACGGGACCCCGAGTGACTATAGGGTACACAAAATAGAAACAAGAAAACTGCTGCCTTTTTATCTGTCAAGTAAAAACAGTTACCAGTAGAAACATATTTCAATAATTAAGCGAACCTCTTTATGCGTTGTTAATAAAACAAATGTTTTTTCAAGCTTCTTTGAAATTATCATTGCATCTCTAATTTCCGTTTTAGTGAGTGTTGTGGACCGATTTTTTTCTTTATAGTTTTAAGAAGCTGGAAGATTAAATCAAGTTCTTATTTTGCTGCTGTTTATTCCTTGTACAAACAAATGGTCAGATCGTAAGGACATTTTTCCCCACTTTGTTTTGTACATGATTATCCACCAGATTGAATCTAACGTTCACAGCCCCTAAATAAAAAGTGAATAATTCAAAATCACAACAGCTGCTCCCGTCTATACGTTACTACTGGATCTCAATTGACTGCGATGCGTTTCTAAATGATGCAGTTGGCTTGGTTCAGATTGACAAATTGCAAAAATCTTTCCAAGCGTTTAAACATCTGGGAGTTATATAAACCAATACAATAAAATATTTTCTTTTCATTACATATAGACAGGCGTAGTCTTTTACTATTAAAACGAATTATTTCCTCCCGGTCTTCACAGCGGTTTTAAGCAAGCGGAATTCACCGCAACATTCCGCACGACCATAAAATTAACTTCAATTGAAAAAGGAGTTTAGGCCACAGCTAAAAAAAAGATTAAACCCCTTATATTGTAATAGTAATAATAACAATAAACGTAAACCCAGCAGGAGTAGCTACATTAAAAATTACTGGCTCCTAAACGAATCCTATCTGCTACAGCTATACAGTATAAACCTAAATATGCTGAATAAAATAAATGAATGTGCAAGGCACCCTTCCCAGTATTGTAGGGTACAAATAGTATTTTACAGATAAGGTGACAAAATTTGAACTGCAACTACAGCTCATCAATACCAACTTTAAGTATGTCACGCTAAACCGTAACTAAGGTTAAAACTGTGATTTTGAATAATCACCTAGGAAGAATCTTTCCGCTATTTCTGAATTGCAGAAACGGCCCCGTTTTCAATTTTCGATTCCTTTCTTCCTTTGCAAATCGATTCGTTTCGGGTTTCTCCTTGTAGGCTCTATGTATGCTATCGGTTTAAATTAAAACAGCAAGATGCCAATTTAACTGCTGTGTGAAAAAAGGCTCCCTGGGGATTTCGAAAACCCTGACTGGATTATTCTCTTCTAATGACTTCCCACACATTTCTCTGGTCTTTCTGTCCTCCCGATCGCTGCCTGCCGACCCCGGCTGCAAAGGCAGCGGCTCCGAGAAGCTGCATTTCTACGTTTTATTAAAAATTTCCAGCTGGAGATTGTGGGGCCTTTAAAGTCAAAGTGAAGAAAAGGTCTCCGAATCATTAATTCACTCAAGTACGACGAGAGAGGAAATGAGGGGGGCTAGGAAAGATTTCAAAAGTTAAACATACTGCAGTAATACTACTAACAATTACAGTCGTCATTATCATCTTCACGGATCGCAAGAGCGAGGAGAATGGCCGATGAGATATTCCATCCCAGAAATAAACTAGTATTTGCAGCGTTCGTGAAAAAGAGAATAATGACGATAAAAGCATTTGATGCGTTTTTTAACGAAGGCTTCATGAAGCGATATTAGAGCGAAAGATAATATGAATGATTAGCGTTATATTGCCTCAGTAGCCCTGACCTTTGACATTTTGCAGGCCTGTTCATACTAACTCTTATCAGATGACTGTCTGACCTGCAGATAATTGGTCTTAATTATTTCCTGTTGTTAAAGGGAAAAAAAACTCGAGGAGTTTTGTTTTTCTTAAACTTTTTTCTTTTCAAATTTTCAGGTAGAACATTGCTTTTACTTCAAAGCTTGAACCCACATGTTGTTTTAAACGTTGATATTGCCGTGATGAAAGTAAACTTAAGTCATTGTCGGAAAGTAGCTCAAAATTACACCGTGAATAAAACGACGACCCAAAACTTCTTTCGGACATGGAGCTTTATGTCCAATATAAACACAACACTAGAAGTGAAATATACATTTTAATGTGTAAATGAAAGATTTATGAACAGGGTCCTAAATGCTTTGAATCCAATTGGCAGTAATCAGTTGAAAAGCAAGCTTTTAGGTTCCATTTATATTCTTACATGTTGGGTAACATTCAAAATGTGAAAGTACACAATCTGTGTAGCAAACTCAAAGAAACGAATGTGTATTGATGTTCCTAGTTATGCGAGATATTTTCCTTACTAAGATTACAAGCGATGAATGCCGCAGATAATCTTCTTTACATTCAGTCACAAATGCAGGTATTTCCACGGCACATCACCCTCATGCTGTCGTGGAGAGAACAGCTAGCAGGGCACACCAGACACATCTCCCAGAGCAGCTCTCAAGTGGACGTGAACGTGTTTCGGCGCTGCTGAAGATCTCTGTGATAGTGCCTCAGTGCGTATGTGACTTGTCACCATACACCTTTCTCAGATTATCACTGTAAATCCATGAGAACATTACTGAAACAGTGGCAGTGCTGGTGCCTTCTCTTTCAACGTGCCTTTGAATGCACATACAGCATTCATACATTATTCTGGCTGTGTGAGCTGGTTATAAGCAGCCCACGTGAGCTCCACACCAGTTCATGGGCTCACACTGTTGTATACAGGTGGTCCTTCCCAAAGCAAAATAACCTACAGTTGACCTGGCTGTAAATTCTTTAGAAACCTTTTGGTTATTTTCATATGGGTTCCAGAACTGGCTTTCTGCTGCTCCTCAAGAACCACCTGGGGAAATGTGTTGAACCACATTTTTGTTTTGGTGGCGGCGGTGGTGGTGGTGGGGTCAGTGTTTGCAGGATATACCAGGCCGGCTAATCTACACCTGTCCGTTGCCCTGCACACACCTGTTATCCACCACAGTGGTTAATTCTGAAAGTCACAAAATAAGCATGTTTTTAGATCAAAGATTGTTGGCTTAGTAACATAGCAAAGCCCGGTGCTTTGTTTTGTGGCTTGTGGTATGTGAAGACATAAGGAAGAGAGAGACGGAACTGCGCCTTTGTGAAGTGTAGATAAAGCTGACCAGTGGTACAGCTCATTGAATAGTGTGAGAACGTTACCTGGTATCTGCACAGTTTTTGGCAAATGTTCGGATTACTGTCGTGGATCATTCCGCATGCGCCGATCTCTCCAGGCTCCTGGAGTTCTGGGATATGGTCTTGGGAATATTGTGTTATTTGTTGGCAGATCACAGACTCTTTTTCACCAGATTTTATTCCTCACTCTCCTTTTGAAATTTAGAACACTGTAATAGAATATTCATAGTAATGTGTTTCTGGGCAGAATGTAAGGAATTGAATGTCATTCATTGCTAGAAAAAATGGATGAAATCTTAGCTAATTTCCTTTAGATAGATTGTAGTAGTAACATTTATTGAATTTATCAGATTTTACACAAATACTACAATATATATATACTATATCATATTTTTAGATATAAATACTATATAGTTCAGGTGGGTAGCTGCACCAGCATGTGTAGGCTGCAAAAGAACAAGTAATAGGTTTATTCCCTGCTGAAAAGAGAAGAAAGAAAACACAACGTTTCGGCCGTAGAGCCTTCTTCCCATGCTTCTTCTGGCCCTGTCTTTCTCGGCCAAAACGTTGTGTTTTCTTTCTTCTGTTTTCAGCATGGAATAAACCTATTACTTGGTCCTTTGACTACTATATATATAAATATTATAAATACAAATGTATTTATATATACAGGTACATGTTAGGCTATATACTGTATACAGTACCTTAAGTAATTTAAATTTTGCAACAAGGAGTGTTCTATGACCTGTTAACTGCACATTTCAGATACAAGTATTGTAACTACATCAACTAAATATATTTACATTTTTAGTGAAAACTTAAATTCATCTTCTATAACAGGTACAGAGAAATAAAAGGTCCTTAAGGCTGCATTATTCTGACTGATGAAAGTAAGATTAAACGTTCCTGTCAGATTTTCCCAAGAAAAATCACCACGAACATTCTTGCTGTTCATTATTAAGTGCTGAATATATGTTTGTGCATTGTGACCTCTGAGATTATATTCATTTTCCCATGTGTTATTAATTATTTCTGAGTTTAAAATGAACTGTATGGCACTGTGACAACTAATAATATTAAGACATAATTTAATCTCCTGTAAACAGTGTAATAGTATTTTGGAAGATGAGAATCACATATACACAATAAGGTACTGTATGTGTGAATATATCTATATAAAACAATTCAGAACTTTCCCACTGATGTCTTTTCCAGACTGATTCCAACTGTGAATATCTTACAGCCATAAAACCACGACAACAAATCGTTTTTTGAAACATTCATGAGACCATCGTCTCCCTAAAATCTTGTCACACTTAGCTTGCACTTCCTTTGTCTTGAAACTGACATAAATCTACAGAAGAAAAAAGTACTTTTTGAAACAGTTTTTGATATGAATAATCAGTTTTATCTTGCAAATCTCTTAGATTTATGGAATCAGTCTAATTCCATGCAGGTATTGAACACCTTAATAGGTCTGCATAAAATGTATAGGGTAAATATATTGTGTTAAATTATAGCTACCAACAAATTTGAAATATCATTTGAAATTGGATGACTATGCCTTATAAAGAAAGTGTATTCCATATGAAATACTGTAGGTACAGTAGATACTAGTACTTTCACAGCCATCAGAGCAGTACAGTTTATACTAGACAACAAAGCAGATATCAGACACTAGCTATCTTTATCACAAAGGCCTCTACCCTAATTAACTATATTTTGTGGCTGTTATTATTATAGTTCTGTACAGTATATACAAAAGAAAAAAATGCTCAGACACAAATTGGGTGTCGGTTTCTCCAAAGCAGGATAGCAATGAATTCCTTTTGCCTGTGACCTTTTAGTGTCTTGTAACTGAGGCTTCTACATTAATCGGTTGCTTATCTGTCACCCAACATGTTTGATATTTTCAGTCTCTGCTTCCAATTACTAGTCATTACAGGCTGAAGTGAGTAATGCCAGTAAAAATCCCATACAACCTCTGACCTTCTCGTGTTAAGTAACCACAGGCTTTCACTGTAGATAAACTATCATTTAACTGTGCCCGGAACAAAACATCCCCTGTACGACTGCAGTGCTAGACCATGGACAGAAAAAAACAGTTGATAAGCTGGTTTCTTTTACTACAGTTCTGTAGTTCAGAAACTGTTGTTTATTAAAATGTTTAAGAATTATGAGAAATATTTGGGTGTTTATCTTACTAAAATCTGTACTGCAAATGTCTTTTTAAAATATTGGACAGTCCTGATGTTATCCTCCCCTGAGCCAGGAACGTCCATGCCATGATGTTTGCTGTTGTAACCTGTGTTACAGTATGTGAGTGTGTTCCGCTGTCTCTCTAATGGACTCCACATTGCAAGATCCTTTAAAATTCAAACAATATTGATACATTTTGAATATCTAGAATATAAATGAATGCATTTTAATTTCTGTGTTCTACAGTTTGCAATGCGAGAAATTATTTGCCACCTGCTTGCTTTCTAGTGTTTGAGTCGAAATGAATTGAAATCTGACCCAGCTGAAAATCGAATGCTGTCGTGGGTACACAAGCCGAGCCTCTACGGGGACTGGGAGTGATTGCAGGGAGCTGTGCGTAGGGTTACTTTGTAGCTGCATGTGGAACACTGTCAGCATTTAGACTAGCTCAGTTTCATGTGCCATTGATCCAGCACTTCAGAGGAAATCCCTAGAAATACATTAAATTATACAGAAAAGTATGTGCAACCATTTGACAAGACTAAAAAAAACACAGACCATATCCAAGTCCCTGTATATTTCACCTCCTCGAGCATATTACGAAGGAAGCATACAATATGTACTGTATGCTGGTTCTTTAACTAGAGTACTACCTGAATTGATCCATGTGGGTTCCATTAGGTTAACTTGTTTACTGAAAGGCAGAAGTAAAAGATTCTTATATATGAGTTTTGCTGTTCTTTGTTATCTGTAAAATGAACTTCAGTAATGTTTTATGTCAATTTGCATATCATTAATGTTTGCCTGTTTTTTTAGCTTATTCTAGTGTTATCTGTTATGCTTTCTGTGCTGGTACAATGACCACCAGTCACACAGCTGGCCTCCAAAAGCATTTAAAGAAGATAACGAATTGTTTATTGATCCTGCTGAAATAACTATACTATCTATTTAGCCAAACAAATGTTTCTAGATCTTTGTTTTAAAAAATGAGGTAATATGCTAAGAAGAGATGAAGAAACCTTGCAGAAGAATTTGATCCTTTTTTGTCAAGTTAAAAGGCAGGGGAAAGTGTCTTTAATTGAATGTGGCCTGTTTTTCTTCACTGACAGCCCATTTATCATTGGTAGAGAAGGTTGTGAAAAAACAGTGCTTGGCCTGTCTCTAAACTGCTACCTGTAGTCAATTGACTGATTTAATGGGATGGATAGTGTTTGTGTTAGTAGTCAAAATGTTTGGGTTTGGTTTGGAATGTTAAAGATTTTGATAAATTGCTTCATTTGTAGAAATCAACTTGTGAAACGTTACTTTAGCATAACAAAATGCCTTAAGTTACTTTCTGCATATGCATAACATTTACACTTCTTTCCTTTATATCTTCAGTTGTAAAGAAATTCCCATATCATTTCTATGTTCTCTTCTGTTGATTCCTTTCAGTGGAAAGAGATAAAGATTTCTCCCACCAGAGGAGACATTACAAGGAATTTCGATTCGATCTGACTCAAATCCCTGACGGCGAGGCGGTAACGGCGGCGGAGTTCCGGATTTATAAGGATCGCAGCCACACTCGGTATGAGAACAGCACGCTGAAGGTCAGCGTTTACCAAGTCATCAAGGAATACCAAAACAGGTCTGTACCAATAACTAGCATGGTTCTTCAAACTGCACTTCATTCAATGTGAGATTAAATTCAAATTGCTCTTTCTCCTGAAGTTATGCCCATTTTATCATTTTAAAAAAATGTAATTTCCCTCATTTATTCCGTTCATTTAAAACGTTTTTTGTTGTTGTTGTTGTTGCTGCATAACACAGTATTATATTCCCCTTTTTATGACTCAGTCTTTTATCATAAATCACCCCTCCATATCAGATTTCATAATATTACAAAGCTATTGCAATTGCGGTTGAACAATACATTATATTATTTATACATTGCTTTAAGACGAAGTATATAAAAAACAGTCCTTGAGGTGATCTTGTTTATAAAGATCTGTCATTGTTCCATTGTTCAGACGATTGCCGTTGATCACTCAATGGGTTCATAAGTCTCAGATTCTCCCTAGAATCGCTCTCATGTTCTTTTCTGGGTACAAGAATTAGGAATCTCAGGTTTCCTTTTATATTTATTGTTTATGAGGTAGCCTGTGTCACAGAATATTCTGGGTATCTCATAACCATAGGGAAGAAAACTTATTCTTTCTGAAAGTTCAATACAGATTAAAGGAGTGTTGATTTCTGGCTGCACATACAGTGGCAATTGGTCTTTGATGAGACTGGGTTTTGAGATTTTGACACAGTAAAACCCACCCACTGAAGAACATCTTTCTCTACTTACCCCTTACTCTAAAACAAATAAAATAAAAAGGGACATTTATATGTGCTGGACAAAACAAACTATAAAATAAGCCCTAATCTGTCTGTATTATTACAATTATTATTACATTTTTATTTTTAAAAATATATATTTTAAGTAAATGTTTTGTACAGTACATTGCAGAATTGAAGATAAATTGTGAATAACCTGGTAAAACAAGGATATTTCTAGATAGCATTCTGCAAGACATTATTTTATTGTGGTGATTTAACATTTTGCTTCCACGTTCCTAAAGTGTGAAGTCTGTGAAATGTTTGATAGTGTATTTACAGCAGTGGATTGATAAAATAATGATAAACTGTAAAATACCATGTATTAATATTATGCTTTTCTGGCATGTGTAAAACCATTATCAAATGAAAATGATAGTTCAAAGCACAGGCTATGTGCCACATTGAGAACAAAACAAAAAGAAATGGAATTCTTTTCTGAACTTTCTGACAGGGGTCTAAACCTTATGACCCTTGTTGTTCTATTGTAGTCCATGGAGCAAATGCCCAGCAACACCAAAACAGGTGTTGGAAATGTTATCAGTCCTCATAACTTGCAAACAAAGGAAATTCCCTCATTTAACAAAATGACTGTAATTCCACATTCTTGTATTTAAACAAGAAAGGCATTGTAATAAATCAGAGAGAGGAAAATACACAATGTAGGTTCAAAGAACAACTGTGGAATGCGAACAAATAAATTACTAAAACACAACAAGGATCAAAACAAAGAAGTACTGTAATAGAAAATGAAAAAAGACATTTGAATACACTAAACTGGTGTGCAAAGTTCCATTATTTTTAAGCCAAGACTTGATGGTTAAAATAGCAAAATGAAAAAGAAAATTTGTCCATGACAGCAACATTCTTAGCAGAACAATAAAGAGTCAAAATGGTTCCAGTTAAGTGGGTAACAAATCAAAGCTGTTTATGGAAAGAATCCGAAACCAAAGAAACTCCATTATAATGCTGCCTTCCACTGGGGCCTCTTGTAGCAGCGAACACAAGGCAGTGCAGAGAATCACTACGATGGAGGGATTTATCTCCTAGTGGGGGATTAGTTGATACATGAATCTGAGAATACTGGTCCCCAGCTTCTCCATAAAGGCCAACAAGTTAGCTCAAGAAAAGAAAGTCACTAAGAAAACTGTTACTTCACAAAGAAAGCAATAACTATTTAAACAGGGCAATTTGTACTAACTCAGGCAGACACTATCTGTCATTCGGGTTTTCAGAACATGCCTGATTGCGTGCCACACCAGTGCACACCTGATACGTCCCTCCTGGGCTCTCTCATTCTCATGATGCCCGCGGGATCCTGAGCTAGGGTGCACATTTACAACAGGCTGCTCGGAGGTTAAACGCATAGTGCAGCCGCAGTCACCCTTTCTTATATCTGGGTGTCTTGCCAGGCTATTTCCAGCACACGGATCTCAGATCACTGGTCCCCAGCTGCCCCATAAATGCTAATGAGCTAGGTTTGCTCGAGAAAATAAAACCATGAAGAAACTGATTGTTTCAGTGATAGAGCAGCAATCTGCTCTAGAAAGCAGAAGAAAACTCTACCAGTTATTAGGCTCTCTAGGGCATGCCACACCAAGGAAACAGTCCTGAGCCGCTGGGCTTTCTCATTCTTACGATGCCTGTAGGATCGTAAGAAACACTGATTACACCAGCAGGTCACTGGAGGGTTAACTGCTCCTAAGGCAGCCACAGTGCACACTTATCTCTCCTCCTTATATCTGTGTCTCTTGCTGGGCTATTTCTGGCCCTGCCACTAACCTCCCTGTCATTAGGCCCCCAGAAAGCTCTGATACGCTGGCAGCTACCTGACCCACCTGCTTCCCCAGAGCTAAAGCCCCTTGAGCTAAAGGCAGACTTGAGTGGGCCCACACATCCAAGTGGCAAGTACTGTATGTACTGTATGAGGCTCCCGGACTTTAACTCTGCTTTCAGGACCTCCCAGCCTGCACCGACCACTGCCCCTTCGAGTCTTCCTTGTCAAAGCTCAGCCAGAGACCCTAAATGCTTTTCCAGTCATTAGTCATGGCTTTTACCATTGTTTTGATGTTTGTGGTTGTCCATCCTGTTGTTTGGTTCAGTCCAGGACTTGTACGTTAGAACATAAAAATGATTACAGACAAGATGAGGATATTGGACCCATCAGGCCTGTTTAGTAGTTAGTAACATATTGATCCGAAAGTCTGATTCAGCCATTTCCTGAAGGAATCAGCTTTAACTACAGAGCTGGGCAACATGTTCCATACAGCTTGGATAGCAATGTATGGTCTGCTCTAGCACTGCATGAAGCCACAGCAAATACAGTTGCACTGAAGCTGATCTGACTGAAGTGCAGTTATGAAAGTTTATTTTAAAAAAAACTTATAATAAATTAAATATCTAATGATTTAATGTGTTGATCAGTATTTTTGCGACATACTGTATGAGACTCTAGATGTCTTACAATTGTATATTTTGCTTTAAGTGTAATGACATTCTCAAATTTTGCATTTAAAGGCTGCTTGCAGACTCTTTATTTATGCAAGTATTTACAGCATCCATGTTCCCTTTTGTTTATTTGAAAGGTTTTTGCACTTATTCAAAACAAAGAACTTTCAAGTATAAATGCTTATTTTAATTCAAACCATTTCTCAAAAGAGTAATCATAATTTATCTATAAATAGAATTTGGCTGTGTTAATTTGCAATGTATTTTCTCTGTCTAAATGACATAATTCAAAACTCAAAATTTAATTGTTCTGTTTTGAAATTGAATTGCTGCTAATCCAACCAGCAAAGCATTTGTCACTCTTCTGAGTGAGAAAGGTTTATTTAGGAATATAATACTCAAAGGTACAAATCACAGTCCACCAGATCAGTAAAGTCCCTGAGCTGATCAGTGATCACTGTACACGTACAAGTCCATTAGGCATAAATGTGAAAGCTGAGGCACCAGAAGCATTAGTTAGGCAGTGGTACCTTGTTTATGTAATCAACTCCTAAGTACTGGGTCAGGGCCTCCTGAATTGTAAGATTGTTTCCATGTTCAAATCACTCGGGGAAGCACATGTTTTCTCCCTGTGTGGCCCTTCACTGGTTTTACCACAATTGAAGGGCATTAACAGGAACTACCTGATTGTAAATTTTGTGCATACAGTTGTAGCCTTGAACCTGACCAAAAAAAAAAAGTTATGACGTTCTTAGAGTGTTCACCCTTTATTCAATTTTTCAGGATGCTTTTTTTCTCCTCTCCATTATTTTTCCACTGTCTAGGCCAAGGTTAGTTTTTGGCAAGTTCGAATGATCGCTTTTTTGCAATGCCCCATCCTGCACATTTTCCCCAGACTTAGCTTGTGAAACACGCTGTGCTCAGGTAGTGGTGTAAACTACACCGAATCTTTCACTGCTTGCGCACGAGTGACTGGTGACTTGATTCGTAATCTCAATTCGTGACAAGTTGGGAAGAGGAGTGAGATATTCAAGCCAACAGGATCTCATCTGAGGAAGAAAGATTAGGAAATTGCATTTACAGAAGAAGTCTGTGGTCTGTGAGTATTAGCAAATGCAGAAACATAAAATGCAGAATAAATCCCTCATTAATAACTGTTGGTCTTGTTTTCAGGGATGCAGACACATTTTTGCTAGATTCAAAAAAGATCAAAGCTTCTGATGGGGGCTGGCTGGTTTTTGATATTACTGCTACAAGCAACCATTGGGTTCTTAACCCTCGACAGAATATGGGCCTCCAACTTTGTGTTGAAACAATAGACGGTAAGGAAAAACAATGTCTGTCTATTTCAAACTGTAGAGTGCAGGTCCTATGAGGTCTAACAGATGGCCGATTTTAGCTGTTTTGAAATTTGCTTTTGCTGTTGTTGCTGGAAGCCTTGGTATCGTATTATGTCCAAGCTTCAGATATTGGTTTCCTTTGGAGTGAATTTAAGAAAAAGAATTTAAGAAAATTCCTCTGCATACCTTTTAATTCTATTGGATCACTGGGATCCCCTGCTACAGAGCCTGTGGTCATGAAACGCTTGCCACAACTTTAAGCGTAATTCTGGGATTTAAATCTAACCCGAAAGGTCTCTTATTTCCAAAACACAGCAGTCCACAGCAGTATTTTACTTTTAAGCAATCAAGAGAAGAAATAAACCCTGGCAATTAGAACAGATTCTTTATAGGAACTCAGTGAAGGGCTGCAGAGTATTGGCATTGAACAGGCAGCTGTGGCTGTGCATATCCTTTAAACGATTCTCCGCACACTCTCCAAGGGTCTGCTAATGTTCGAGACCACTTTGGGTGAGGACATTTTCACAGAAAAGATTGAGCTTTACAGTGCTTGTTAATATTGACCTTTTTTTCTTAATTATGCTGTTTCATACCTATTTTATATTTTCGTACAGTACAGTATATGCTTCTATGGATTTTGGTATTTTGTCCTAGTGTGAAACAGAGTGGTGGTAGAGTAGTAAAGAGAAAAGTCAACCTACGGTACATCTACTGTAGATATAGGATGGCAGCACTAGTCGGCAAATAAAAAGCTTACATTACGCTCCCCCTTTCATTAAGGCATCTGATGTTCATGTCAGGAGTAGGCCTACAATAGTAATTATTGTTCTTGACATGACACAGGGTGACGTTCTTGGGATAACAAAACACGTGCATGGATATACATTTTTGATTGTTGTTCTAAGCATATAAACTAAGAAATGTATGTAATATTTGGATGTACTGATAAAAGACATGGATATAAAAGGTGTCGAACTGAATTACGCAAATTGTGAAATTAAATATTTCTCTAAGTGTGTCTCATGTCCCCTTGCTGCCATTATTGAATAACTGCACTGCCTGAAACCTATGTATCACTTTGTTCCTACAAATTCATGTTTGCTTTTCTTGGGAGGAAGTGAAAAGAAATGCTGTACTATGGCTAACTGGCCCTTAAATGTTAAATAAATGTTTTCACACAAAGTCTGAAATATCAGGTTACATTTTTTTTAAAGTGAAGGAGCCTCAAGAGGAATTATTTAAAATTGAGTTAGGTGTAAAATCCAGGTTTTTTGTGTAAGAAAGTGTAAAAGAAATAATCTTTCTTTTAAAATATAATTAAGATAACCTAACATATAACTTCATTTTGCAGTGGAATCTCAAGGTCTGGTATGATATGTATAATAGATTTTGTCATATAATTAAACAATTATAGCTGGTGAATTAGTTCAATATGGCCCCTGACTTTACTGTATAAATGTTAACATTCTCCCATGTGATGGAATTGTTCCTTGTCTTTGTGTACATGTTAAACGAATGTAAAGAGAAACACCTGAATAAACACGATGGAGAACTGTAACTGTTTAGAGACGGAAGTGGGTCACTTCAAGCTGTGGCATTTGGCTGGATGTTTCAGCTAGCAAATATTCATGGAGGGTCGTGGCATCTGAATTGAATTAATGTGTTTGCTATACTAAAAAACAGAATGGACATGTCTAAAACCACAAATCAAGACCCCTTAACTTCTCCTTCCTTCTGTATTCTTTCAATATTTTTCTAAATAAACTATTGTTTGTTTAAGACTTCAGGGTAACAGAAAAAAATATGGCAAGAGGTTAATGTACAGTATTAATTCCCATTTCCCTTTAGTCTTCAGAGACCTTGTATACTATACACTGTAAAATACATTAAGGTGTAATATTTATCCAATGTTCTTAAACATCACATTTCAATTTTAATGTTATAATCAGTCACAATTATTTAAATTTATGATGACATAAGACTTCAGTCTTAAATCCATTAAATTAATATACCCATTATTGCTTATAATGGTTCGCTTTCAAACAGTGCATGCAGAACTTTTGTATGGTTGTATTTGCTTTTTATCAGTCATTCAGCTCTGACTGTAAAATAGGAAAATGCAGCTTGAACTAATGGCACAGTGACTCTGACAAACTCCAGTGTGCTGAATGATTTAACAATTATCTGAAAAACAAGTAGCTGTTTATGCACACAAAGTGTTTATTGTTTCAATTAAATGTATTACACTAAATAAACAGCATATCTCACCAGCAGCATGAATTATATGGAGAAGGGACATTATTTTAACACAAAGCTGTCTGAGTAATATTTCCTTTCTTCCTTTTTTTGTGTTTATTTTTTTTACCCTTTTGGTGTCTTTTGCGTGAAGTTTGCATGTTCTCTATGTGTGTTTTCACCAATATTTTTGTTTTATTCTACCCAAAGAAATGCTGAATGGGTTTTCTTTGCTGTTTTGCACAATTCTTTTCTCTCTGGCCCTGTGATAGTGCCCCTTTGCACATTTCTCTTTTGGGATAGGCTGTGGGCTACCTAAATTTGCATCAGGACAAGGGGATGTCAGATAGTGGTGTCTTTGAGTAAGTCTTTCAAATTATAAGGTACGCAAGAGTCACTGAAATACATGAGGTACACACAATTCCTCAGTTTCCTCCTGCTTGTTAGATAGTGACATTTTTACATTACATTTCCAATAACTCATTATACTCTTTGTACACTACTATTTGTTTGAAAAGGGGATGCCTCTAGTAGCTATTAGGACTTGTGGTATTTTCCTGAACTTTATTCCTCTGAAGGTACAGAAGCCACGCAGCTTAATTTGTTCCACTCTATTAGCAACTACTCTTCTTTACCACATGTTGTCCGAACTACAGTGAATAAAAATATAAACCAATAGACAGATAAAGCATATCTTTCTCAGCATTTTGATTTACTGATACAAGTGAGCCTAGCAAAATCTTTTCATTCTTTTGTTGTGCAGTGCACTTTCATCAATGAACTCTAAAATGACCTTGTTTATATAACATCTGTTCTAGGGCGAAGCATCAACATAAAATCTGCAGGTATTGTTGGCAGAAATGGCCCCCAGTCCAAACAGCCATTTATGGTTGCATTTTTCAAAGCCAGTGAAGTCTTGCTTCGTTCTGTGAGAGCTGCGAATGGGAAAAGAAAAAACAACAGAAACAAATCGGGCAGCCATCACGATTCCTCAAGGGCACCTAAAGTTGTTGGTAAGATGGATATTTTTTTGGTTTCAAAAAGATTAATAATGCAAGAACATTTTTTCAAATGTGTGAACATGCTCATGAATGGTTTTAATAAATTTAACATTACTGCAAAAATCATTTTCTTTCACCACCCTACATAAATACAGTAAAAACATAATTCACTTTCCCATTTTAACATTTATTTAAGCAAATTAAAGAGCTCTTTTTATTCTAACATTACTAGTTGGTGTGAAGGAAAATCCCTGCTCTGTACAAATACTAAAAAATAAATAAAAAGCAATCAGTGAGTTAGTGCATGTCTGTCAGACTCATTTTTAATTCACTGTCACTGCATTAAAACTAGTTCCCCCATTACATAGTACAGGATGTTATGTCTACTACAACCATGTTTCACTGCCAAACTTCTAAATCAAGGCCCTTGTTTTGAATATGTGCTGCTCTGCTGCTTGTATCTAAATTAGCATGATGTAAGAACAACTCTCCATCATCTGTAGTCTATAAAATCGTTGAGTTTGTTGCCTTTGACCATGGGGCTTTGAAAACATAATTAAAGAGCTATAGCACAACAAGAATGACTTCCTGCCCCTGACAGCAAATGTGTGGGCTTCTTTCAAAATGTTTTTTTTAGTATGATGAGGACTCCCAGCTCGGCAGATACGTCTAAGCTGTTATCAGCTCATCCTTGGTAGGAAAAGTGTATGAACCCTTGGAACAAATTTGTTTTCTCACCCCACTTCTAGTATAACCATGAAACACAGTAATTGTGTATTTTTGTTAGTTTAGCCTTCTGACAAAGGGTTGATTAAATACACCTTAGATCAATATCCTGTTCTGTGCTAAAACAAAAAGCTACACAATTTTTACTCTGTGCAGGTTGAAACAAAACAAGGAGGAATTAATTTAGCAATTTTTATTTATTAACAATTCTTCATTCTTTATGGACGCAAAGACAAAGAACTTTCAAACATTAAAATCACAGTGGAAATTATGGTGGAGCCCGTTTTTCCTGTTTTAAAAAGAGATCGTTGTTTGAACAGCTAGTATTGTATCAGCTCCAGAAGGTTGTAAGAAGTCTGGTTTCATTATGGGTATAACATCAATAACTAGGAAGCGCCCTGGGTTATATTTTTCCCAAAAATGCAGAAACAGGAAGACATACTAGTCAAGTTTCCAATACCTAACAAACTGACACACACATCTTTACATTAATTGTTGAAAGATTGTGACTTTTGGGACATTTGAGTTCTTGCCTTCTAATCATGCAGCATGATCTGTTGACCATACTTCAGTTCACATGCATGCTATTAACTTGGTTAATGTTTGGAAAGAGGTTTTAACATGGTCAAAACAATCAATTTCCTTTTTCTATTTTTGAGTTTGACTATATTTGTCTTTTTTAATTAGAGGAACACTTTTTAATTCCTTTATTAACATGGATTTTGGAGACACACATAGCTACATTGATGTATGTACCACAAAAATGCTGTCCTGCTTCAAAGACAAATTTCCACTGAATGTTCTGACAGTCTGCATTGTAAACTCAAATATTATTTCTTGTTTATGCTTTACAGTGACTCAAGATGAATAATATACTAATATAACCACTTTAGAAATACCTAAATTTAAAAAGTTACATGTACAGTAAGTAAAGAAAGTCATCCCTAAAGTAAAAAAAAAAAGTTTTGTTAAATGCTCTGAGTCTCAGCAATCATGACACTTAACATGATGTAAATATATAAAAGGATGTCACCATTCTGAGTGTGAATAAAAAAGCATCACAGTGTGTTTCTCGTGCTCATGGATTCGAGTCAGCTGCTCATGGTCAGTGCTGTTTCTACTACAACCCGGTTTACCAGCCAGGCTGGGTCTAATCAAACTGCTGGTAGATTGAGCCTTACGTCCAAAGTACAGGGATCATACGCCTTGTTTACAGTATGCTTTGCATTTTTGCACATAAACCGTAAAGCTGACAAAAACTAGCATTGTTCTGTCACATAATGTCTTTGTTCATACAGAGTGCTATCAACATGCATGAGGACCATTTCTTTGGTTCATTGTTCTCAGTGACAGTCAGATCATTTAGGAATTTTGCTCAATCGTAAATCAGAATGGAACTGTACAAAGGACCACACACACAGTTTTGCTTTTAACACCCTGTTGTAACCTCTTCTGGGGAATATACCTAGCCCAGCGTTTTACTACTTTGCTTTGTTTTGAAGATATGGCTTCAGAAGGTGTTTTTTTTTGCTCACACAGATCAAAACACCAGTGAGCAAAAGCAAGCCTGCAAGAAGCATGAACTTTATGTGAGCTTCCGGGATCTGGGGTGGCAGGTTAGAGACTTTTACCCATTAGAAGACTGAAAGTACGAATGGACCAGTGACTGACTGCAGATACATTGTGTCATGTTACTTCAGATGTTGTTTCAGATCTTTTATATACAATCGATAGGACATTGCATTTTTATTTTGCACAAAATAATTTCTTGAAACATGTAAAAGAGACGACTGTTTTTTTTTTCACAGTTAATTTGTTCAAATGTCTTCTGTAAAAAAAAAGCTTGTCATTTCCAAAATATGGTTGAGGTTTCAGGGGTTGTTAATGTGGGGCAAGAGCTAAAATATGACAAGTTTCATTCTCAGTATCAACATGTTAATGTCTTGCTGTGCATCTGGTATCTTAAAATGATTTTATCATCATGTGTCTTCATTAGCCTTTCAATGTACAATGCTGATAAGATTTATGACATTGTGATATGTCCCTGAATTTACATATGTTGTGTTTCTCTTTATTTAATTGTATTGACAGGACTGGATTATTGCACCTGAAGGTTATGCTGCCTTTTACTGTGATGGAGAATGCTCCTTTCCACTCAATGCACACATGAATGCAACTAACCATGCTATTGTACAGACCTTGGTACGTATCACTTTACGAGTTATTGGTATGTTTTCTGTATAATATTGAATGGTGCAAGGTGAGGTTATGCTATAGCCATTAGCATTTTATCCATTACAGTCTGACCATTTGAAAAAATGTGACTTAGCAGTGCGTGACCAAATGCCACCAAGACTCCGAACACTTGCAGTTGGTTGCTCTTATAAGAAACTTTGGGAATTCTGTACTGTAAATGGATTGAGGCAATGGACTGGAGCTTCTTGCTTTCAATTGAAGAGTTTCAATCTAGATATTCCAGTAGAAGTTGCATTATCTGCAGCAGCAGCCTAGGTGTTGATTGGGGCCTGTTCTGTTCTTCCTGTCTTCTTTTATGGTTCAGTTCCCTGAACCGGTTGTCTCTCATGTAAGCACAGCAACCCCATTCAAGAAGCAAATCTTGATAGGGGACGTGAAAGAAAGGTTACAAACGAGGGGCATTTTTCAGCCCGTCCTGTTCTTGCTCGTTGATCTTATCCAGCCATTTCTTAAGGGATCCCGGTTAATCCTCATTAACAATGTGGTGGGTTGCCTGTTCCAGAGGCTCAGAGTGCCTATGCCAGCAAAATCTGATTAAGAGTATCTTGAGGCTGGTGAACAGAAAGCTTGTTACATTCTAGAACACCCGTTAAGAAACAGAGCACACTCTGACTTGGTAATGTTTGTCCTCCAGCAAGACTCTGTGTTTAACTCAGTCTTCTTTGCAGGTTCACCTGATGTTCCCTGATAATGTACCAAAGCCATGCTGTGCACCGACCAAACTAAACGCTATCTCTGTGCTGTACTTCGATGACAGCTCCAATGTCATCTTGAAAAAATACAGAAATATGGTGGTCCGGTCATGTGGATGCCATTAGGGAGAAGTCCTTGGCATGCCTGCCTTAAGATGTGTGGTATTGCTGAAAGACATATCAGTGGTATAGATAGTTAATCTATGGTGTGATGTACAGTATTATGTATATATTAGTTCCATGTACTTATTTATTTTCTCCTTTTTGTCATAGTAATCATTTTTCATAAGCTTAAAGGGGATTTTTAAAACAGAACATCTTTAAAAAAGTAATATAAAATTTATGTGATTATATGTAACCCTTATGACTTGTTGCTGTTGTTTACAGTAGTTTCATCCAACTCAACAAGTGGTGCTTTCCAAACAGATAGTACTTTTTTACTTTAAGCAATTTTTGAAAGTCTCCACAAGTATCTCGTAGAATATATTAAGGCAGGGCTGAGAACTGAGGAGCTGAAATGTATTGTGTGTTCAGTGTTAAGGCTACAAAGTGTGAAAGATGTATATGCACCTCAATTTCAGAAGAGAAATGTAATGATTATGAGCACGCAATGCTTTTTAAACTTTGGAAGTCTGGCCTACAGAAAGTGCATGTTCTTTCAGTCTTCTTTTTTCTCACACTGGAGGGCAATATTCACCTTAAATCATCTACTCCTGCGAATCTCTTACTGTGTTTTAGGAATTATGAAAGAACATGTAACAGGAGATATCTTAGCAGCCGTTAAAGCGTAATACCATACAGTAGCATAAAAAAGCAAAAGACAAGTCTGTAATAGCACCATTTCTTCTTTCTTAAATGTGAATACTTTTTAGGCATGGATTAAATCACAGCTCTGACTCAGACACACGTCCTGGTGCCCAGACCCAGCAGAGTACTTAATGTAGTTTTCCACTGGGTATGTGACAGATGCTGGTTTCAATTATCGCATGCAGAACATTTGTACAGTGAGTACTTAAAAAAAAAAATCTGAGCAGTGATTGTGGCAGTTATTGACAAATTACTTTTTTCACCTCCTTGGAACCAAATGAGTTTTCAACATTGTGCATTGTTAATACTATGTACTTTCACCATCGAAGCCATATGACATAGTGTAGGGTGAGAATTTCTACAGAGACATCACTCTGCAGTTCTCCCAAGAGCATTTAAATGCTACATGACAAGAAACCAGCCTTTTGGTGTAGTAGATTTGTTTGAGTTGTGAAGATAAGTAAGAATTCGGGGTCTGACTCCATAAGCAACTCAGTACTGAAAAAAAAACTTTTGAAGTCAATTAGGGAGGACAAGTCTATAAGTACTGCACCACACATTTCAAAACCTTAGTTGAATACTGGACCAAAGTGTTCAGCATTGAATCCACCATTTAGATTTTTAAAATGCATTGGTCATATTAATTTAAGCTTCTCTTCCTGTGCAAACTTGGCAAAACATTAGCTTCACATAAAAAATATGAAATCAAAGCTACTAACGTCTACATCTCATTTGGTCCACTGTACATCTAAGGTGTTTTTTTAAAGCTCTGTTCCATTAGCAGTTTGATTCTAATAATGTTTACATTTTAGTATGTACTTTAAATGTTCTATACCATAAAGCTCTCATACTGGTAATGCCTGGTGGTTATTTAAGTAATATCTGAAGCTTAATAGTTTTCAAGAATAAATACGCTTTGCTAAAATAAAGTCTGAAACTGAAAAAGACTTAATGGATCAAACATTTTACATGTATATTTGAGAACTATTTTCTTGTGTGTTTTGTGAAGAAATACATAGTACTTTAATACAGCAGGGCAGCAATGTTTTCTCCATTACAGCTGTACACTTAAGTGCGTAACTGGATCAATTTATATTTTACTTATGAAAGATATTTAACCACTTCAAATTCATTTGACCATTTATGTGGTTAAAAGTATACAAATGCAAACTTAACACTGTGTTCTTCCCTCATATGTTCCAGAAATAGAGACACTTGTGTTTTCATTCTTTTAGAGTTGAATATCAGACTTCTCATATCAGTAGAGTTGAAAGCTGATAAGTAGGCCTTTAGTTTTAAGGACAGGGTCTCAGACATGAGAGGAGAGAGATGTTTTTAATTTTTAAACCTTTGTGTAGTCTCTGTAGGATAACATTTCACCTTATCATTAAGTTTCTTCTGTTAACATGAGTAAAACATTTTAAAATAAAGATGTACTGTATGAAGTCCTGTTTATATGTCATTAAATGTCTTTTTAAAACATTGTCTCTTCTGTTGTGCTTTGTGCTTTTTTGCCCAAAAGCTCATATTTTTCCTACATTCGTTCTTCATGGTATATGTTTTTTACTACCTTAAATACTCTTAATACAGTTTTGGGGATTCAATCTACAATCTTAATGAACAGATTATGTCTTAAACCTGCAATCTTTATTCCTCCACATTTCATATAACAATAGGCCTCTTAATCAGAGCCTTCTTGTTTTCAACGAATTCAACATTTTTACCATCAAAGTCAGCTTTTGGTTTTAGTTTAGTTTTTTTTAAGCTACAAGGATTCCAATAAAAACAGCTTCTGATAAAACTTCTCGAAGCTTTTTGCCAAGAAAAGCATTCAGAGAAGAGTGGTTGTCACAAAAGAAAGTTACTTTTTTCCAATGGGAAAGCAGAGTGGAGCAGTAGTGGTGTTTCCTTTTCAAGGCACTTTATGAATGTATCTGATGGTGAATAGTTAATTAGACAAGTATTCTCAGGAGGATAGACACCACAGAATCATGTTGAGCTCATTAGATACAGAATAAGTAATAAGTGTAGTAACAGAAAAGATAAGATCACCTCTTAACGGCTTTTAATATGGTAATATGCCAATTATTGTTGTAATTTCAAATTGATTATGAAATCACATTTTCTTTTTCTAACACGAGTTAAACAGAATTAAAATTAACGGGAACTAGAAATAATATTGAAAGGGAAATCATTGTATTGCTATAAATTAAAAATTAAAAATATTGCTTTACATCCCACTTCAGACTTCCTTTTCAAATTTTTCAAACTTCACTTTCTGGACTTGTTAGTGTTTGGAATACTATGGATGCTTTATATAGTCACAGGACAACAGACCAAGACTGGTAAATGTTTGACAAGTCTGATATAAACACCTGGGTCCACCCAAGGAGAGAGCACATCTGTCTGCAGCTGTGTAGCAAGTTCAGCAGTGTGATGAGTGATTTCAGTGTGGAGAGCACATTGGATTATTTTTTAATCCAAAAGTGTGGCTGAAAAGCCATTTACAAAGGGGTTAGGAAAGGTCAAACAGGCTCAATGTGTAGAAACAAAAGAAATGCATGCTTGCAAAATAGCATATTAAAAAATAACAAAATACAACCAAATTCATAGCCAATAAATTAATTAAATGTGATTAGTTTATAGGGTGATACAATGGGAATTCCAGATTGGACTACCTGCTGTGTGGAGTTTGCATGTTCTCCCTGAGCCTACTGTATATGGGCTTTTTGCCAGATGCTCTGCTTTTCTCTTTCCTGCCAAAGACGTACAGTACTAGTAGCATAAATAAGTTTCTCTATCGGTGTTTTCTTCTGGGCGTCCTATAATGGACTGTTGTCCAACAGTCCAGGACAGACTCCAGAGTGCCATGACTCTTGTGCTACAAGATCCAGGGAACATTAGTGTAAAAATTCTAATTAATCATCAAAAACCTAAACTAAACTAATTTGCAGGGAACATTTTCTGCAGTGATGCTTTATTTTCTTCTACACATACTCACAAAGCCTCTGCAAACTTCTGTTCTGTACTTGTACTAACATACTACAAATAATCATTGTAAAGACTGGCGCAACTAAAGATTTGTATGGAGCTACTGTAAGTATGGTAGTTCTGACATTGTCACATTTAGCTTGTTTTTGTAGTCCTGCCGACAATGTAAAACTGTTTTCTTCTTAATTTTTAGTAATACAGCTAAAGGGTGCTGATTAATTCATTTTTCTCAATCTGTACCAAGTGCAGTTCATGAGGTGTGTGGTTGGGACAAACTCTTTGTGAAAGACAAAGTAAAACACAGGTCAACAAACACCAGAAGTAATGTAAGTAATTTGAGTGAGCCCTCTTTAAAAATTCATTACTGTTTAAGCCACGTCTCAGAAGAACAAACAATAGCAGACAAATTCTTAGAATAAAAACAAAATGGCTTTTAATTTTTTTTTCACATCTGCGGTTCACAAAAAAGTACTCTTTTAACAAGTATAACAAACAACTGTCTTAAGTAAACTAGTATTTTTGTAGGATTGGTTTAGTCTAATTACAGTGTATTGCCCATAAATTTGTTCTACTTTGATGTCAAATTTGATGTGGCTTCCTGCAATTGCATGTCTTTATGGGTATATTGTGTATGGAACCACAATGGAATATGACAGGCAACAGATGTTCTGTGGAAATTGTTAGATCACTGAACATACAGTAATTGAAAGACAATAATTTTTTCAGTAATATTCTTTTCAATTTTCTATCTTTTTCTAACTGCTTCTTAGAGTTCAGGGTCACAGGGGAGTCAGAACCTATCCCAAAAAACAATGGGCTCGAGGCAGGTTAGACCCTGAATGGGAGGCCAGTCCATCTCAAGACACACACTCACCCCAGTGGCAGTTTTCTCAGAAGCCAATTAACCTACAGTACAAGACTGTTCTTGGACTTGGACTGTGGGAGGAAACTGGAGCACCTGGAGGAAACCCACATGAACATGGTCAGAACATACAAACTCCACACAGACAGGCCAGGTCTGGAATTGTATCCAGGGTCTCAGTGCATTTCTGTACCAATAACAAGTTTTATCGGAATGATTGATGAATAACAGTATTGCCAAAGTAATGACAATAACCAAGACATTTAAATTATTATGTGTAGTAGTATTATTAGAGAGATTTGTGTTCTGTTTCGCAGGCTGGGACAGAAGATCATATGCTGGGCTGTCAGCTCTAATGAGTTTCTTCCCCCATTCCCCAGTAGTACTGAGATTGGAAACGTTTCTGATTCTTGCAGATGGATTTCTGGGATTAGATTTGATATCTTGGCTAATCCCCGAGCATTTTTTAAACTGTAGGAGTGGGAGCACAGCTTGTCCTCTCTGGGCAGTCTGGTCTCCTGTGTCGACCAGTACCATGGTCAGGCTGCAGTAAGTGAGCCTGCACTTCATCAGTCAAACAAAATCTTGACAAAAAGTGACCTGAATGATTTTTATTTCTTTTTGACATTTCTGCAGGTATGAACACTAAAGTCAATCTTCACTTTAAAACAGAGTAATATGTTCCTTATAATCAAAGTGAGTGTTTATTTCTATTTTACAAAAAATAGAATCTCTCCTGGTTTTCTTTGAGCACTACGTCTGGGACAGGTATTTATGAAGGTGACAGTGAATACTGTTCTCACTCTTACTTTACAAGTTAGTAGCTAGCACAGTTTAGAATGGAGCTCCTGAACTGCTTGAAGGCATCCTGCAATTATGCAGCAGGTGGTAACCCTAATCTCACTAGCAACTTTTAATTTTCATTTTCAAAGATTTAAACAGCCCAGCACAATTCACACTGTGATTTCTGTTGCTACTTACTGTACTTGTAGTGTAGTCTGAGTTCTTTTATCCTGAAATTTGGTGTGCAGTTCTAAAATAATTATTCCAAAAAACAATTCAGGTAACATGTCTCGAGACTGGAAAGGAAGAAAATGCCCTGGTAAAAAGGAATTACATTTTTTATTCATTAATACACCTTTCCATTCTTGTTTTATATACTTTCTGCATCCAATTGTAATCTGAAAGTAAATCTGCTTCCAGAACCATGAAAACATTTTAGAAAAAAAAGACACGATTGATTAAATTAAGTTCTTTTACAACAAGGTAATTTAATTCTTCACCATGATGATTTGTAAACAGCTTTGAAAAATCTACACAATTTGTCTGGCTCTGCACAATCTGAGAAGAGAGGACAATGTTTTCACAGAACAGACTAAATAGGAAATTAGCAAAAAATGCAGGGATATCTCAAAATTGTCAAATTACTCAATGTCAGCAAAGCCATTGTCTGCTCAGCACTGTGTCTACTCTTTCTGTACAAAAAGCTTTTTTTCTTCCTTCCTTTTTAATGATATTATGTTTATAATGGGAAGCAAACCTTACTTCAAAGCTTTTATCACCCCATCATAAATCTATGTTTAAATGGCAGAAATCACAATATCCTTCATTGCTTCAATATTATAGGTGGAAAATTCCTTTAGATTTATTCCTGGAATAAATAGAATATCTGGAATGGCTCCAGTTTTTAAATGTCTCTTGCTTTCAGATCGGCTGCGTGGAATACTGTAGCTTCTAAAACCTATTTCCCTGTGAAGAGTGTGTCCATCCTGTTTTGGAAGTATATGATACATGGGTTTCCAGAATTGCTTTGAAAATGTGGAGGACAGGCCAGCTGTTGACATTAGCCAATCTTTTAAGAGCTAATATCCTGTAGTTTGTGTAGGAAAGCAGTCCCATCTAAGAATTTTATGCTTTACTAGCTAATTGTCTAATTCCAAATATTTGTGTTTGGAATTTTCTGAAAAAGTCTAATTTAAACTGTGTCAGCCTCAGATATGTACACATCTTTCTCGGATAATTGGTCTTTCTGTCACCAAACAGAGAGCTGATAAAGCACTTGTAAGCAGTAGTAAGTAATTGACTACATTTAAAAGGACATTCTTTTTGATTAAAACACAAACTCGGGAGAGCTCTGGAAATTATAAGTAGACTCATAATTGTTCCACTCTCTGACAGACGGCCCTATCTTTTGAAGATAAAACCAGTAACATGTCTTCTATCAGGACCATGAGGGTTAAAATAGTTGTCATTCCAGCTGGAACTCAGCTCCAAGAGAGGAGATGTTGTTTAACCCTTCAGCTAACATCATAAGAGGAATAATCTCTTTTGCTGTAGAGATAATTTAAAAACACTTCATGTATTAATGAAAAATCTAAATTTAACAATAAAGCTGAGTGTTTAATAAAGGTAATCTTGTCTGGGAAATGTGACAAAATACATCTCAGTCTATGGTAGTCTTTTTGGAGTATTACACTTTTTTTCTTTTTAATTATTTGCCCCAAAAAAGAAAAGGCACATTATTTCATTCCATTACAGTAACTAGATCAATAGAAAAATCTCAGAGTAACATTCCATATACAGTATGTTTATGTTTACTGTGTATCTAACATTTAAATATC